TACCGGGCAAGCCATGTCTTCTGGCCAGATTCGTGGTCAAAAAGGAGATCTCTACGTCCTCATTCGTGTGGCTACCGACTCCAAGTTCAAGCGGAACGGCTCCGACATCCTCCACACGGCGACCATCCCCCTGACTACTGCTGTGTTGGGAGGTGAGATCAAGGTTCCTACTCTGGACGGCGAAGTCAAGGTCAAGGTGCCGACCGGGTCTGGCACGGGAGACCGCATTACTCTTCCTGGCATGGGCATGAAGGTGCTATCTGGACGACGTGGTGGCAAGGGTGACCTGCGTGTGGAATTCAAAGTCAACATGCCCAAGTATCTCAGTGTCAACCAACGAACTATTCTCGAGATGCTTGCGGATGAAATGGGAGACAAGAACGCACAGCGGGTCATCAACCCTGGCAAGATGAAGGATGAGGCAGGCAACACGACTCAAACCGGACATGAAAACGAGGGGTTCCTCAAGAGCGCATGGCACAATCTGACCGGGCAACATAAGCACCTTAGCCCCGAAGAACGACGGCAGGCGGAAGAAGACGAGAAGAAGAAGGGTTCGGGCTAAGCATAGGTTGATGGCGCAGAGAATTGTATGAATGGGCCGGCACACACGGCGAGTCTAGGCGCCATGGGAAGCGCACTCGCAGCAAAATACTGGGTAGCATTGGACGGCGTATGAGAAGCTGCTTTGGACATTGGTGTATAGAAGTATTTGTATCCAGCCTCTCGACTCAAGGCTTGTATAATATAACGCCCGTTATGATTGACATGAAGAAAGATTGACTCATCCCTGGCTGTTTCTTATCCTCATCAAGTGTTTCCTGAGGTGAAGGTTCGCTAGTCTTGCACAGCCAATATCGCGGGCGCGTAGCGATGCGGCCTCTTATGAATGTCATTGGGCGGGCGCAAGCGGCAGACATGGGATCACCCACTTGGGCTCGCTAGATTCTCACGACGGTGTGACAAGAGGAGAGCATTACATACGGATAGCGGTCTGATCTTGGTAGTGTGCGTGCTTGGTGATAGGCGGATACGGGCTGGCGAGGGCGCGGGTCTGGTGTTGCTTATATGCATGCATGTGCCTGGCAGGGCCCCCACCACCGGCTACCTCGTCCTCGTGCTCCTGCTTCGCCGTGTGTCGTCGACACCTCTGGAGCTCACCAACGGCACTGCATTAGCTACTGCAACACCGCTACCATATAAGCTTTGACCGTGCCGCAACGCAATCGCTCGCATACGTGCCCTATACGGCTTGACCAAGCTGTGCCTCGGTGAACAGCCCACTCCGACCAACAACACATCACCGTTCGCTGTGCTGCATGCCCCCATGTCCGCCACTCCATCTGCTGCGTGATTGCCTGGCTACGACTCTCAGAACACCCGCGACATTGGCCGACGAGCATTGCGCATACGGTGCTGGAGCCATTGTCCTAGCGTCCTGTCCCAGGCCTACCAGAACCCACTTCCCGCATTGTCGCCTGTCGCTCGTTGCCTGTCGCCCGTCACCGTCATCGCTGATCGCTGATCGCTGATCGCTGCCCGAGGGACACGACCAGCCCACTTCTGTGACAATACCTCTTCTGAAGACGCGCCCAGCGGCGGCTGACACTGCGCATACATTGCCCATCATGACGACCCAAATACCTATGATTTCGGTCCCGCTTAAGCAGACCAACGAGATTGATTGGATAGCTCCACTGAAACAGTACATACGAGCCACGTACGGCGACGACCCAGAACGTTACTCGGAAGAATGCGCCACGTTGAACCGCCTGCGCCAGGACATGAGAGGTGCCGGAAAGGACAGTGCTGCGGGGAGGGATCTGCTCTATCGCTACTACGGACAGCTGGAACTGCTCGATTTGAGATTCCCAGTGGATGAGAACCACATCAAGATTAGCTTTACGTGGTACGTTTGTGGAAGTCCTGCTGCAGAGACATGAGCAGTACATGGAAGGCGGAGACAAGTTGGGCAGATGTAGGACAGCCACCACTGACCGACGACAGGTTCGATGCTTTTACACACAAGCCGACCTCGCAATACTCGCTCGCATACGAAAAGGCTAGCATCATTTTCAACATCTCAGCCGTCCTATCCTGTCACGCCGCCCACCAGAACAGACATGAGGATGTGGGGCTCAAGACTGCCTATCACTCCTTCCAGGCATCCGCCGGCATGTTCACATACATCAATGAGAACTTCCTCCACGCACCCTCGACCGATCTTAGCCGGGAGACTGTCAAGACGCTCATTGCCATCATGCTAGCGCAGGCGCAAGAGGTGTTTCTAGAGAAGCAGATTGCAGATGGAAAGAAGGTTGGCTTACTCGCAAAATTGGCGAGCCAGGCTGCATTCTTGTACACGCAGGCTACAGAAGGCGCACAGGAAAATGTCACCAATGCTGTGTTTGAGAAGGTTTGGCTATTGGTTTGCCAGGTAGGAGCGTCACAGCCATACTCAAAGGTCAAGACTGACTGCTCAACAGATCAAATCACACCATATGGCTTCTTTGGCCCAGTACTATCAGGCCCTGGCAGATGATGACGCAAACTCACACGGTATCGCAATCTGTAGACTTCAAGTCGCCGAGGCAAGTGCCAAAGACGCGACTCGAGCCGCAGGCAGTTTTCCCAACAATGCACCTGCCAATTCGAATCTCGCTTCAGACACGGGCAGTATACTATCAGAGATGACTAAAAAGCATTTAGCGAATGTGCAGGAGAAGCTGGCCGAGTTTTCAAAAGACAACGACTTCATCTACCACCAGGGTATTCCAAATGAGGCGTCGCTTACGCCAGTGTCGAAGATGCCTGCAGCGAAAGCGATACCTGTCAGCGAGCTATACCAGGGCCAAGACATCCAGAGAATCATTGGACCGGACATCTTCCAGAAGATTGTGCCTCTAGCTGTGACTGAGTCAGCCAGTCTATACGACGAAGAAAAAGCCAAGCTTATCCGCGCGGAGAGCGAGCGGGTCGAAGTAGCCAACGACGAGATGGCTGCTGGTCTGGATTACCTGAAGCTGCCCGATAGCCTTAATGTCATAAGAGGTGGTATGGATCAGGATATGATGGTCGACAATGATTTCAGAATGTGGTGCGAGGAACTTGCCGGACACCAATCGTTTGGAGCAGCTTTTGAGCAACTGGATCGCGACAAATCTGAGATTATCAGTTCACTGGAGTCGAGTATGAAGCAGTTGGACATGGAAGAAAGCGTTTGCGAGAAAATGAGATCTAAATACGGGGCAGAATGGACGCAGCAACCCAGTTCGCGCTTAACATCGACATTGCGGAGCGACATCAGGAATTATCGCGGAGCGGTTGAAGAGGCAAGCAGCAGTGATGCTCAGCTCTACAGCACATTCCGTCAATATGAAGCCGACTTTGACGAAATGCGATCAGCTGGTGAGACAGACGAAGCCGATGTGCTATACTCGAGAGCCATGGTCAAGGCTGGTGCAACCAAGGGAAAGAGCCCCAGGCCAACTGAAGGTAGTCTGATTGATGAGGACATTGACGAGGGTCCCTCGGTGACAGACCAGATTGGTGCTGTCGAGGATATCCTGCGGAAGTTGAATCTTGTCAAAAAGGAGAGGATGCAGATACTGAAGGACCTCAAAGATAAGGTAGGCATGCCAACCCGAGTTTTGAGGTGCACTTTACTGACCAGATAGGTTCACTCTGACGACATCTCCAACGTTCTCATACTTAACAAGAAAGCCATTGCAAATCAAGAAGCACAGTTGTTCAAAGCCGAGCTTGAAAAGTTCCGGCCACACCAGAACCGTATTCTACAGGCGAATCACAAACAAGCATCTCTTCTCAAAGAACTTACGCGCACTTACTCAGACCTGCTAAAAGACAAACGTGTACGATCTGAGCAGAGCAAATACGAGGCCTTTTCGAGACAACGGAATACGGTCATGACCAAGTACCGCAGAGTGTATCAGAGCTTCAACGATCTTGTTGCTGGCTTGTCACGTGCCCAGAACTTTTACTCAGAGATGAAGGATACTGTCTCAAGTCTCTCGAAGAATGTCGAAACTTTTGTTAATAACCGAAGAGGGGAAGGAGGACAGCTTCTCTCTAAGATAGAGGAGCGGAACAAGGCGCAAGGCGCAGACCAGGAACAGCAACGAATGAAGGAACTTATGGAAAGGATGTCGATGGAACCTTCTGGTTCACCTGTATCACAGGGCTCAGGCCGAAAGAAGAGTATACCGCCACCGCTGTCGTCAACCCCTAGTTACCCATCAACCTCAGGGGCTAGCCACCCAGCGTATAATCCTGCAGCCTCACCACCTGTCACGCCACGTTACCCCGCTACCACAGCCCCAACCCAGCAGTACATGTCGCCACAGCAAGGCTACAGCCAGCCTTCAAACGGCTACAACCAAGCTCCCCCACGACGAGAGAGCTACCAGCAACAATACGCCCATCAATCACAGTCGTCACAGTCGTCTTCAGGCTATAACCCTGCAGTGCACAACCAATACAACCCCGTTTCTCCCCCTGCGCATCAGCAATTCTTTTCTCCGCCGCCTGCTCAGCATCAACAACACCAGCCTTGGGGTCAGCCTCCACAGCAGCAGCAACAATGGAGTGGTACGCCACAGCCACCTAACCTGCCGCAAGGTTACGTTCCTCCGCCGCCGCCACCTGGGCCTCCACCAAGCCATCAGCAAGACTACAGTCATTTTTCTCAGCCTGGATATCCGAGTGGAGCAGGGGGTTATGCTCATCCGCAGAGACAGGGAGGGCAGAATCAAGGTGCGGGTGGAGCGCATGATCCTTGGGCGGGATTGAGCGGTTGGAAGTGAGGAGCAGTAGAAGGATGTGAGAGGGAAACGAAGGCATGGTGAGGGGGGAACTGATGTTAGTTTAGTGAATAGGAGGTAGTGTTGTAGACGGAGTTAGCATCGTAATTGGATGTATTTCTTTTACTTCTTACCTTCTGTTTTGTGATGATCAGTCAGGACATAAGTGGGACTTTAGTTGAGTGCAGGCTAGATATTTTTCTTTCCTTTTCAGGGACCGTTACACAAGTTTACATGACTTGTTATTTCATCGTGTTCCTACGATCGTAGAGACTAAATCCACCAAAAACCAGTTTGTTTCAACTTGCTCGGTAGATGATAACCCCCTAGCAAATCTGACTTTTTTTTTCAACCCCAAGAGAACCATATACCGTACTACATGGGCGATCGAGCAAAGCAAGGAACCTCCAACATCCCCCATTCGTCCCTTTACCTCTTCCCACCCAACGCAAACTCCAACTCCGGATAGTCCCTCCAAAGATTCACAAGCGGCAGAAACATCTTCCTCTTCACCTCTCTGCCTTCCTTCTCAGCCGCTGCTTGCTCCCCGGCCCAAGCCCACATCTGACTCCACGGCACCCACTCCCACGCTGCGCATTTGTGCGGTTCCATCGGCTTATCATGTCACGAATATCAGCAATTTTTTTTCCAAAAATCCTGGAAAAGCACAGCATTGGAAAGTCATGATAACAGTGGTATCAATGTAGAATGGAAAATGGAACAATGGGGGAATGTTAGGAAAGATGAAGGGGAGGGGGAAGCAAACCTTTGCCACCTTATCTTCCCCCGTAATCGTACACGTGACAAATATGGTAACGTAATGTTTGCCTTCACCAAACACATCGTTTGTGGCGGTTAGAAACTTGATGTTACCGACTACGAGACCGGTTTCTTCAAGGACTTCGCGAGCTGCGGTTTCGGCAAAGGATTCGGAGTATTCGAGGTGGCCGCCGGGACATTGGAATGTGCCTTTTTGAGAAAAGTTTTTTGTCAATCAGAGAGGCATATAGGAGAAAGGAGAAGAAGGAGGAAGAAGGGGGGGAAGAAGAGGGGTTGGGTAAAGAAAAACGTACCAGCGCCGTGGCTGCCTGCGCGCTCGCCCATGATGATGTTGCCAGCCTCGTCGTGGATGATGACACCGACACCGACTTTGGGGCGTTGAGCTTCCGACATTGCAGTGCCCTGGTACTCAAGTATATGCCTAAAAGAAGAAAAAAAGAAGTGGAATGGAGAAAAGAGGTATATCACTTTTCAAGAAAGAAAGAAGAATAAGTGCAGGTAGATACTTGATGTATGAATCATTCACATAAATATATAGCCCCGCTTTACGCTGCCTAGTACAAGTGGGTAAGTAAGCACAAACAAAGGGCACAGCCCTAGTAGGGCTGACAACATGTAAAAAGGTATTTCCTTCCTCATCTAGTCTAGCGCTCTCCGCCCATATTCCTCCCATTTCCAACCACAACCTTCCATCACCACCAACCACCATCAATCTAACATAACATATAAATCCCCACCCCCAAAAAAAGAGAACAGACACTCCCAATCTACCTTACTTGTTTCCTCCACCCCTGAATCTCATCCAACGTCAAAACATAGGCATCACTATAAATCCTCTTCAACAACTCGACACTATTCCACGCCCCACCACTAATATACTCACCCCCCCAAACGACAAACCAGGCCCAATCCGCACGATACGCCTGCAAATCCGCCGGCTCCATGACACTCCCAACCTCTGTCGCGGCGACAATCTTCTGGCGCTCGCCCAGCTTCAGCAGGGCATTGTACGTGGCCGACTGGGGCCCGTGGTCGCCCTGGGCATACGTATCCGCCGACACGATATCGACGACGTCGTCGCCGGGGTACCAGTCTGGAGCGACGGAATTCCAGACCCAGAGCAGATTGTGCAGGTTGTGCACGTTGGTCAGCCGCTCGTACAGGATGCGGTAGAGCTTCTTTGCGGGCGCAGCGCCCCGGGCGCCCCACCAGAACCATGCGCCTTCGGCTTCGTGCAGCGGGCGGAAGAGCACGGGGATGCCCGCGCTTTGCAGCTTCTTGAGCTGCAAAGCCACCGTATCGATGTCGTGCATGAGCAGCGTGTAGTTGGCGTTGTTGGTGTCGGCTAGCGCGCTGGATAGGTCGAAATCGGTCGCGCGTGTGTAGAAGCCCGACCACCATGGTTGCTCGGTTGTGTCGTAGAGGCCGGTCGGGGCGCCCCAGTGCCAGACAAAGGTTACGATGCCGCCCTTTTTGGCAAAGGCGAGGGCGTGGTCAATGTCTTTGGACGAGGCGCCGCGAGAGGTGCGTGAGTCGGTGTAGTCCATTAGGTCGAGGCCGAGGACGGCGGGTGTCTTGCCGACGTTGGTGGTTACCCAGTCGAAAGATGCTTGGTCTTGTTGGCCTGAGAGTATTTTCTTGCCGTAGATGCTGACGAGGTATTTGAGCAGCGCTTTGGCGTCGGCGTTTGCTTTGGGGTTTACGGGCGTTGTGGTGATGTTGTGGGGAGGTCGCTGGGCAGTGGGCGTAAGCGTGATGGCGTCGATGAGGTACCAACCCCAGTTACTCTGGATCTCAACTGTGTTTATGCCTGCTTTGAGCAGCACCTGGCCGGCCGGTACCGTTGTCCATTTCGTGGTCGCGGGGAGACTGACTTGGCTGCCGCCTGCATTGTTGAAGACAATGTTGGTGAACTTGTCGCCGTAGGGTCCGTTGTAGATCAACTCGAGGTCGTGCAGACCCCCGGTTTGACTGGTGATGTTGAAAGTGACTTTGTCCGTGGCATCCGAGAAGCCTTCTACATATCCAGTTCCTAGAGACAAACACTAGTTTAGTGCGAGTCCACATGTAAGTTGTAGACACTGAGAACCAATTTACCTGTAAATCCCGCGACGGAAGAGCCAACCGTGGTACCAGAGAGCGTAGCATCCTCGGCTTGAAGAGTAATCTTCTGGCCTACAGCCAGTCCAAAGAGAGCCGCAGCAGCAAGAATTGATCCAAACATCTTTTTTCTCTCTCTCTCTCTCGAAAAGAAAAAGAAACAAAGCACCTGAGCAACTGCGTACCTACCCACATACACACACACACACACACACAAACTCACCCTAGCTCTTCATTTATATATCCCATTCATCACTCTCGCTACACATTCAACCTCTTAGGCAGGCCCTTTAACCCGGACACTCTCAATTCCGTGCCTTGATACTAGTTTAATTTGATAGGGTTGGCATACATGATGCCACCTTTGGAGCCTCTCCACAAGAGAGCTAGACAGTGGCCCAAAACGGGAGGGGTTCCCACACCTAACGTGACTATGGCAATATAGCCAAATGAACTAGGCGAAAAGGGCAGGGATGTCATGCCCACCAATCAATGCGAAACGGACCACCACACTCCGGGCCCGTAAAGGAAATTCAGACGAACATCTCGGATGAAGAGTACTTGCTCTAGTCCATATGATTGGGAAATATTGCGCGTGCCTTGCTGTAGGGTAGTAACACTATACCATGCGTAGAAGGTCTTTATACTCGTTCATCGGAAACAATAAATTCATGTCTATATGCGCTGGGCATGGCTTTGCCTCGCCATAAACGTATTTCACAAACCTATGCAGACTTGACCAGCTGGGTGATGTCGTCAACATCCTTGGGTGTCGGCGTCAGATTGTCCACCCCGTCCTTCGTAATGAGAACATTGTCTAAATCATGTCAGCTCCGCGGGATTTTGTTAAGAAATACCATAACGTACCTTCAATTCGGACTCCTCCCACTGTCCAGTACTTATCCAACACACTTTCGTCAATGTACTTCTTCTTCTCTTCATCCTTGAGATACGGCTCAATGATGAACTTGCAAAAGTAGATTCCGGGCTCAACAGTAATCACGCTACGCTCTGGTAGCGCCCCTCGTGTTCGCAGATATCGAAACATGACATCCTTGTCCGCATAGTTTGCGTTGCCGCCAGTGTCATGAGTGTCCATTCCAAGGTAATGGCCCAAGCCGTGTGGAAAGAATGCTACACTGATTCTCTTGTTGAATAGCTCCTCTGCATCTCCCTTCAAGATACCAAGATCCAAAAGCCCCTTGATAGCAATCTTGTGAGCAAGTTCGTGGACATGGTCCCACACGACGCCAGCCTTGAGTGCATTGATGCATTGCAGCTGCATGTCAAGAACAATCTTGTAGATGGCCAGAGACTCGGCTGTGAATGTGCCTTTGATAGGAAATGTACGTGTGATATCTGACGCATAGCAGTCGAGCTCGCATCCAGCATCCAACAGCAAAAGGTTCTGATTTGTAATTGGCGCAGCATTGTGGACATAATGCAGTGTGGCTGCGTGCTCCCCTGCAGCGACAATCGAGTGATAGGCCTGGTTCTTTGCATTGCGCTCGACGCAGGCCTTGAGAAAAACTGCTTCGAGTTCGCATTCGTTTTGCGCCTTGGAAGCGGCCTTCATGACGGCTACGTGAGCTGCAGTAGAAATGACGTTTGCCTTGCGGATAAGCGCAACCTCGTAGTCCGTCTTGATAACTCGGCAGTACTCAATGGCCGTTTTGAGTTGGGTAAACTCCTTTTCCTTGAATGCGATGAAGGTAACATGGTCGGATACCTGTTCTGGGATGGCATAAATTGTCGATTGTGATGACTCGGATGTGCTGGCAAGGTGCGAGTTTAGCTCGTCGGTGGTGAAGCACTCGTCAATATCATATTTCGCCTTTGCTTCCTCTGGGCTCATTGGCAGACCTGACCAGATGACCTCATCCGGGTGTACAGGAGGAATGTAAAGTGTCAGCTTCTCAGTGGCCATCTCATATTTGAGGTACGCGTCTGGGAGTTCGCAGCCACTGAGATAGAAAAAGTAGCGTCGCTGTCTGGAGGCGGAATAATTAGCATAGGCCCCGTATAAATCGTTCGTCTTGTTCTTCGTACCGGAACGGCGCTTCTCCATCGTTATCCTCATTCAGCTTTTGCTTCTGAGCCTCCAGATAAATTGTGCCATTCTTATCCCCGCCTTTGCTCACCAACCATTCCTTGACCTTTCTCGCATGCTCTTTGGCTGGATATTTGCCCTTGAGGATCTCATCGTAGTTCTCAGCAATGGCCATTTTGGTCACGTTAATCCAACTGCCACTCTCTGTAGATAGGCTGTATAAGCACGGTGTTGCAGTTGCGGAACTCGCTAATCGTCGTTGCGAAGTTCGTGCAGCGGTAGTGCGCAGGGTGTGTCGAAGGGAGCGACTGATTTGGGGCAAGAGGTTGTACATAAGTAGGAGAAGGGGGCGTGACCTGTAGGAGCTGCCTCGTCAGTTGATTAGACGGAAAGGATAGCTCGGATTGGAAAGGTGGGGGTGGTGGGGTGGTAAGACTCGAGTTTGGCAGGCGCAGCTCTTACTCGTCCGACGAAATACTCGGATAAAAAACTACACCCACCAAAACAGGGTAATGGTAATGGGATCAAACTGCCCACTGGACTTATGGAATAATGTGTTCTTTTCTCAGATAATCAGTTTAATACGCTATACATTAAATATGTACCAAAAGGCCAAAGTTATAAAATTCTGTTTTTTTTAAGCTACACTGCAGTGAATGCGGCATATTGCAAATGGTAGCCTTGCTTCATAGGAGGGATGTTCTACTCCGATTATTCCGTCGGACCAAGAGACGGGTAACCGCGGTTATGCGATTCACGAGCTGTTATGGATGAGGAAGGTGTGATTCCACCTACCAGCTGGTTATTGGGACAGCGATGGGACTTGTAGGAAAACTGGTTTTGGTAAAAAACAATAGCATAACATTGTCGTTTGATGCATCCGCTAGTGTGTGTGTGTGTGTGTAAAACTACGTAATCATGTCTATAAATTTCTTACACTTTATTACAACGTGCCAAACAACCCCTAGCCATGAAGAAAAAGTAAGCAAGCTCCAAACACCTACGCCATGCCATGTCATTGCCCAAAATCGGGGTATCCCTTTTATCGTTTAGGTATAAAGGTGCAGTGAAACAAAACGATTCTGCAGGCGTTGGAGCCAAGCGAACAATGGCACGATATGGTTAATCCATGGGTTGTAGGTTCCACGACCACGACGCCCAGCACTAGTCTGCTCTATGGCGATGTGCAAATGTCGATGATGGAAACAATGGGTCGGTTGCGGCCAGCCTTCAAGCTGCAGGATTGATATCTTTCAACAAACAACAGGCCATCTAGTCTTGCCAACGCCTGAGGAACTTGGCCATGTCGTCGGTGGCGTGAGACGCCGGGGCAACCTATAGAAGGGTTAGCAAATATTCCCGATTGGTCTGAGCACAAATGATGGCATATGCTTGTTGCCAGTCATTTGGACATACCGTATTTGCCCTACTCTGGGTAGAAAATGTCTGCGTGGCGGTGAGTGTAATCACCTGGCTAGGAGTCGGCAGCTTGGTTTTGGCAATCCTCACACTGCTGGTAGGGTAGAGGGGCTTGGTGTTGGTTGCAGTAACCTTGGTGCCAGGTACAGGCTGCATGGGCGCATAACGAGTGATGCCGGTCTGCATTGTGTATTCAACATCATATAGATCACCACTAGTCGCCGGGCCATTGTTGGTCAAAGTGTCTTCACTTGCCGGTCCAGCTGTACCAGTGACGGTGGTGGCAGCCTCTTTTACAGTCGGATTGAGGATGTTCTTGCCAGTCATGCCAGAGAAGGAAAAGCGATCAGAGTAGACGACGTACTGGCCGTCGCCAGTCTTGCCAGTTGCGATCATCTTGACGAAGCTGCGATGCCGACATTAGTCTTGTGCTAGAGCGAGAGTCGAGCAATCTGGGGCAGGGCACGTACTATGCATTGGCATCCTTGAGATCCTCCGATAAACCTGCTTCTACTCTTCCTGAAGCTGCGTTGCCCGCCGAGAATAAGCCGCTCGGAGTAATGGTAGTCACGATCATCTAGTAGAGCTGTCAGCATACGGCCTCTATGCTCGTTGCCCCAAGCTCAGCTTACTTGTTCGTCGCCCTCGTTACCTCCAACTACCAGCTGCAACTGGTAACCTTGCAGGTCGGCAAGTTTTGGCCCCGCATCGGTTTCCGCCCACTGGACAGTAATGGCAGAGCCAGCAACCATTGTAGAACCAGCCGCGGGGGCAGTGAACTGGATGCCAGCGTGTACGAGGGGAGACAAGGTGGCGACGACTGCAGCGAAGGGAACGAGTATTCGTGTCATGGTGGGCGTGGTGTGTGCGACGGGGGAGCGACAATGGAGCGAGTGGCCGAGGCGAATTTGCGACTCTGTATACGGCAGCGGTGGAGGCGGAGGCGTGGACGAGGCGGGTATTTGTTAGTACCCAGAGCGTGAAGTGTGCAGCAAGTCCGGACTCGTTCAACGAGACTGTGGCGCGCCAGGGGCACACGATCGTCGTTGCCGCGCAAGCTAAAACCTGCCCGTAACAGGGATGCGCACGCATGTCATTGCGTAGCCTCAACACGACACAACGCACCGCCGCCAAAAAAAATGCCATGTTCTCGTGAGGTTGTCTGATGGCGGTGCCCAGTCGAAGCCGCAAGGTGGAGCTTGCTGATCAACGGCGCCAGCATCGACGACTATTGGCATTCCAATCTTCCGTAAGCCGGCGATTGATAGACTTCCCGCATGGCCTTGGCACCGGCAGTCGTCACGCTGGAACTGGGAACGGTACCTGAATCTAGAGTACATCATTCGGGTCTCCACAAACAACCGTCAAAAAGTGGGCTCGTGCGTTTGCGCGCCAACGAATTTCAACATTTCTTCCTATGCACCTTTTTGGTGTCTATAGTACACAATGACCCGCTTGCCCAAGCTCGATCTCGATGCCTCTGTTTTGCTATTACCCAAACGCCGATTTCATGCTCAAAGGTGGGGGATATCCTGAAAACTCGAAACAACAAGGAGAATGACGCTTCAGCCTGCGTCCGCTCAGTCTCTTCATAGACATTTCTGTTCTGTGTGTCTCTCCTTGTAAACAACAATCACGCTACCTGCGCATTACGCATCTTGGGGGTAGCCAATCGAAGGTTAAAAGTTGTTGGCAGCCGGCACGTCATGGTGGCTGCCTGACCGGCCTTTTGCAGCTGCAGTGTCAGTTCGCGGAGTTTCTCTGGAGTGAAGATCTGGACGTCAAACGACAGCAAGAACTCGACACACAGCTCCAGGCGGCTGAGGGCTGCCTCGTCGACGCCGCCTACGGCCGCAAAGCGCTTCTGAGGCCATCGGTGATCCTCGAGCGCCTTCATGGCCACCAGTGCACAGGCCAAGATAAGCCGGTGCATGGTGCGATAAGTCAGTGGGACGCTCCTATCGATAACGCACAGGCGCAGCATGTAGGATCCAGCCGCTAGCCAGACTGCAGTCGATAACGGGCAAAATTTCTGGATGCGATTCATGTACTCTTCCACGCCCACCTTGGGCACCGTCTTGGAGAAGAATTTCCTGGCCATGTTGGCGCGTTGCACCGCCTCGGGCTGCGCTCCGGCTCCGATGTCGTGGATCGTGACGGGCTCGTCGTGGCTCGCTTCTGGCGGAGCTAGTTCGGTAGGCTGGTGGCTTTCCTTTTCGGCGGGTATAGGCGTGGCGGGTCTAGACGAGGTTCTTCGGTGGTGTCGAACGACTTGGGTCTCCCGACCGCCTGGTGTCGCCGGTCGCGACAGCGGTGGCGTGGCTGGCACGTCGCCGGCAGCGTTTGCTATGGCGATGATGGAGCGCGCAATCAACTTCATGGCCGTCTCGCGTGACATGTTGAGCACGTCGAGCTCGTCATCGTTTACTGGTGGTGATGGTGCGTCCTGGAGGCTGAGGCTGTTGAATTCGGGGAGAACACCGGCGTCTCCGGCTGGGTTTGGTGCTGTGGGAGGATTCATTGTTGTTTGATTTTGTATGACCGGTGCGAGGACGAGTCGCCTCGGATGCACGGTCTTGAGAGGAGGGGTAGGGTAGCAGACTTGGATCATTTGGACGTGTGGATTTATGACGTGGCGCCGAAGTCTACCGATTGACCACACAGACGGAAAGTGTGTCGAGAGAGAGGGCCAAGTGATTATGTGAAATGTCTGCATGGAATCAGGATGCGTTGGGTGGAGAGTCATGGGCGTTGCTCGGACTTACAGCAGGACGTGGTGAAGGATGATATGAACCGGGATTTTCTGGCTACCACTTATTTTTTTCTTGCCCTCTTTTGGTCTGGGCATGCAGGTTGCAATCGAGACTGAGGATTGGTCAAGAGGATTGATTTGACAGAAGGGGTGATGGAGTTGGAAGGGTCGACGTGGGTGGACAATACGGAGAGGAGGAGGAGCAGAGATGGCCAGGGGATATGTGGGAGCGGCAGAGTCGTGCTGATATGAAGATGCTGAAAGACACGATAGACGATAGCTCGGGGCAGAGCGTGGTTTGTAGGTCAAGTGACGCTAGGAGGAAGTGAACTTGTCTTAAACAAGATGGTCGGACCTGTAGCCAGACGACGCGTGCTTCCGAGGGCCGGGGCTATATGGCAGTCCGGGAGGCCATGGAAGGGCAACTGTGTGCTAGCTGGCTTAGCTGCTGGTACCGCGGGCGCAAGCCATTAGGGAGGCTTGAGGCACGGAGGGTAGAGCACTTGGGAGGCAGGCAGCGGGTGGGTCGGGGCGCAAAGGTACGTCGAGGGCTAGTGGGCGTCAAAGGTGGGCCACAGGGCCCAGGAGCGGGTCTCGTGAAGAGCAAAAAGGGCCAAAGCGCTGGCCCACCGGGCCGTGGACAGACAGTATAGGCAGAAGAGGGACAGGACGAGGCAGAGAGGGAAAAAGCAGAGGAGCAGCGTCTGGGTCGCAAGGGCGTGATTGGCGGTTGGCGGCCTTGTTAAGCAAGAAGCAACGGGATGAGCACATGCATGCGGCCTTTAGCTGGGGGGCAGAGGGCGACGAGGGGAAAGGATTGCGGAGCGCGTTCCGGACCATGGGCTTGCCTCGAGGAAGCGGTGCTGGATATTGGGCAGGCCAGGCCAGGGCGGGCCAGGGCGGGCTGCGGGGGGTTGCAGACGAGCTGCAGGGTCCAGCAAGGCGGTAGAAGAAGCAAAGAAGCCTTGGGGCAATACTGCACGCACACCACACACACGACGAGCCGGAGCAAGAGAGGGCGGGCGGCCCATGTGAGTGCTGTCTGTCGAGGATGGATGGATGTACTGGTACGATGCATGTGTGTACACGGCATGTCTGCTCCTGTGTAATGTCCGCACATGTATGTGTCCACCTGTACATGGACGACGCACTCGACCATGTACATGCACACACGCATATACACATACACACACATGCACACACACATATATGTATATACACACATACACACATATATACACATACACACATATATACACATACACACATATATACACACGCACGCACACACACATACTTGGACCGCGGCAGTGTTCTCGGCTCGCCCATTGAGTCGTCTGCCCCGTCTCTTGCCTCCCCGCCGCCGCCGCCTCCCCCTGGCGCCGCTCGACATCTGCCATCGTGACCACCTCCCGCACAGTAGAGTACATGCACTCATCCTGCCTACTTACATACACATCCATCTACTCACTGACTAAAATACCACACGCGCTTCCATGCCCGCTCGGCACAAGCAGCCAGCGCGGGGAATGGCCCTAGCGAATGCAGCCTGTGTCGGATTAGGAGTATGCACCACGCCCACTGTGCAGCCAGCACACCCTCTCTCGCCCACATCCACGCCCGCCACTCACTCCACACCCTCCTCCACGCCCGCACTGCACATCAACCTCCCAGTCTGGCTGCGTCGCGGACCCGGGCTGCGGTTTCACGAGCGCTCGCATCGCTCACGTTGCAGCGGATCGATGCACACGCAAATCATGGCCATGCCGAGCATATGCACCTCCACGTGTTCGCGCAGACTGCCCGGCCCAGGCGGCGGCTTGCACTCGCCCACAGCCGGTCCGCGTCCGCCCTCACGCTGCCAGACGCGGAAGTGATTGACACATGTCAGCGCCCCCCCATTCTCCGCTGCCATCGCTGACACCATGGTCCATCGACGCCCGACCGCCTGGCCTTTGTCCCGGGCCACGGGTCACTGGTCACGGGAGTCGTATTGAACCCATCCCAGCCGTTGCTTTCTTCTGCATGCCTCTCTGCGCCCATGCCCATTATAGTCCCGCTCGACCGTTGGATATGCCCTTGGGCCCGTCAGATTGCCCCTTCTGCTCCAGTAGCACCACAGTAGCAATCTTGCCGGCAAACCCAGCGTACGGTACAGCGGAGCGTGCATGTCCGCTACACAAAGCCCGGCATTCGCTATCAGCCAACCAACCAAACTCACCCACCTACTCACTAGCCAACACACTGCTCACCCACCTCTTCTCTTTCTCCATCTCCCATCCAACAGGCACTCAGTCCCAGCCACGACCCAGGCAAAATCCAACGAACCAATCCAACCCGCAATCACTCACTGGCGGCCCAACAAGAACACTCTCCAGCACCCTACATTGCGCCATCTGTCCCATCTGCAACCCCCGTCCCTGCATCCTCCCAGTTTCCCGCAAGAAGACGTCACCGTACATGACTGGCTTGGCTCCAAAGCAAGATTCCATGCAGTAGTCCTGACCTAAGTCCTCACTGCAAAATACACGACAGTCTCACGAGTCCTCTAGCACAAAAAAACACAAACTTGTTGACCGCTCTTGCGACCGACGGCGTGACGGCGCTCGTATACGGCGAATATATGTGTCACTCTTGTTCGTGCTTACCTACATACATATGTACATGAACTAAGTACGTACCCATTTATGTCGGAATAACTCCGAGTAGTCTCCCCATTCCATGCCTACAATGGTAATATGGCTCCGACTGGTCTGTACACTATGGTGTTCAATGCCTGTTCCCTGTACATTTCCTCCCTCTCTGCATGTCCTACAATCGACCCATTATCACAAGCCAGTCATGCAACTGAACAAAAACCTTGTTTGACTTGTTCAATTCCCCCCCCCCCCCCTTCCTGACTCATAGAAAGAAACACTATTCTCTCCCCCTTTTTTTTCTTTTTGTTCTGTGCTTGTCTCGATATGCAATGAGATGAATGCAGAATAGTAGACACGCTACAGCAAGCCTACTTGCACTTGCATACATAATACCCACCTTCATACATATACGTACGTGATCAAAAATCAAAAAAAGGTGACTTCGATACGCGCCCCCCCCCCCCCACCGGTTCTTTCTCTGCAGCATGCAATCTTCTTTTCCTTCCCTCCCCCACAGATTGAGCCAAAGAGAAAGAAAAAATCCACCCATTTCGTCTTGGCGGTTTTGCTGCAGACGTAGTACACATAGGTTTTCCCTCCAGGATGGAAAAAAAAACATCAAAAGCACATGATCACATGCAAGAGGTACTTAAACCGAGGGATAGAAAAAGAGAGAGAGAGAGACAAAAAAGTGCCGCAACAACTACCGAATAAACTCTTTTTTTTTTCCTCCACGGCCATCCCCGCCCCGCCTACTGATGCCAGAAAATTGAAAAAAAAAAGATGGATATGGCTGACGTAAGATAGAAAAAAAGGCATGTATTGGCATGGGCACATATATACGCCTATCTGCAGTAACCCCCCATACGTACGTAACATACGTATACATACATAGTTCTAACTTAACAATGCAATATGGATTTGAGAAAACGAAAAAAGATAGAATCATCGTAAAAAACCCCAAAAAGATTGAAGAGAGATGCAAAGAGAAAAAAAAAGATACTCACCAAACAATGAAATGAATATCCATGATATTTCCCCAAGTCCCCCTCCTCCTCGCATCTACTTGACTTTTTTTTTTTTACACCTGACTAACCCTCGGCCTCTTCCTCGTGCTACCCGGTATAACGCTCGGCCCACTACTCCTCGCAGGCGTGTCATCCCCGCCCTTCTTCTTCTCCCGCTGATCAAGCACCAGCTGCAGCACATCGTACGAGAACTGGGGGAACTCGAGACACATTGCCTTGAACTCTGGCTCTGCGTCGTGGCGCAGGCTGTAGCTGCGGGTAGCCCAAAACGCGGCCACGGGCTTGCGGATGGTTACGTCTTCCGGGTCCGATTCTTTGTAGACGTAGCGCGCGTATGCAAGTTCGCCTTTGGCCGTCGAGGCCGTGCGGTGGATTTTGGAGTGTGCGAGCGATTTGAGCTCGGCGAGTTGCAGCCGCTCGGCGAGGGTGTAGATGCGGGCGTGCACGAGGAGGCCGACGCCCTCGTGGTCGATTTCTGGTTGCCGCGGGTCCTTTTCGAGCGGTGCGTCGCGCGCGGACGACGTCTTCTTGGGGAAGTATTCGCCTGTGTACAGGTACTCGATTACCGAGCCCATGGCGTCTATGTCGCAGTCTGAATAGACAATTTGGCGCGGCTAACGTCGTGTTAGCTGAGCAATGTACGAGCTTCATGGCACTGTTTACCCCTCCTGGCGCAAACTTTTCAATCTGTTTGCCAAACTCGGCCGATTTGAGAAGAACAGCTTCGTGTGCTGAGTATGTGGCGCGGGTCTCTCCTGATCCAGCAACGACTTCTACGATTGGACTCTTAATCAGGCTGGTGAGCGCGTTAGATGCATGTCCTTTTCTTCTTCTCTCGTTTGCTTCCCCGTGTGTCTATTTCTTGGTTTCCTCAAGGAAACCGTGAGAAACGCAGGCACGCAACTTATCGTGTCCTAATCGCTCTCGCGCCCAGCACCTCGTCCAGCGTGCCAGTTCGCAACACCTCCATCTTGCCCCAGTATGACTTACTCTGAGAATAACATCAGCTTAGGCGCTTCAGGTTCAATATCAGCCAAAGCCGTCTCTTCCCCAGCACCCTCGTCTGCGCCAGCGCTAGCATCAGCTGCGCCTTCCATCTCTACATCCTCGACCGGTGTGCCCTCAACAGGCGTCTTTTGCTCAGTATCCGCCATGGCAAATATGTCCTCTGTACTTGTGATGCTCGAACAGCGCGAGAGTATACGTCATGCAATACAGATGAAAGGAAAGCGACTGGAGGTGCGCGACAAAGCTCAGATGCAAACTAACTTGTGAGAGAGCTTCCGGTAAGTCAGCGCAGAACCAAGTGAGATGTGGATTGCAAGGCTGCGCTTTTACTTTTCAGAAAATTACTTCCCGTGAAAGCGAAATTGCGCTGCGTACAGTAATTGAAACAAAAGCGCGTTTCTAATCCAGCTCACGGTGTGTGGGGTGGGTGCGCGGTTGCAAGGTGGCTGGCTAAGAGTGAGTGGTTAGACGTGATGCTGGGAGAGCTCCAGGATAGCTCCGAACGCGTTGCTTACTACGCGCTAACGCAGGAACAAGCTCAGCTCACGTTACCCATCACCCCCTCAGCGGGACGTTATCGACAACTACAAAGCCGACAAAACTTGCCCGATTTGAGCACATGATCAAGACATTGGCGAAATCAACTCAATTCGTATGTATACTATTATGATCTCAAATAGCAATGTATTTCCGCCCAGGTGGCTCGTGTATATCTAATAATGAAAAATAAGTAGGTATTTTGGGGTTGTCATTCAAACTCCAGCCGTAATTCCGTGCTCCGTGAAATGCAAAAAAGATTGCGTACTTATGTACCGACAAATAGCGCTGTATAGCTGATGTAGAAGCGAAATGAAGGCTTGCGAAAACTGCTGTCAAATTTCTACTGCCTATAGACGACCGCCGTTTTCGCGGTAGCGGTCACCAGTGGTGGGTACTGGCTTGTCTGCCCGGATAACGTACAGCAAAAGATCCTCGAGGGGAATAAAGACGTAAAAGACCTTGTTGCAGAAGAAGGAAAGGAATACAAAGCACGTGGCTACGAGCGCATCCATAAAGTAGTGGTTGGCGGTAGCGACAATAACGGTGAGGATGAATGACGGGTATCCAATGCCAAGGATGAGGTAAAAGATCTTCCAGAAAGCGTTTTTGCGAACCTCGCCGGGCTCCAAGGTGCGACGAAACAGGCCGGAATGGTAGATGAGCGTCATACCGATGCAGAATGCATATCCAAAATGCATTGAAGGCATCGCAGCAAGCTGGTTGACAAACTTACCACTCATCCACACACTCTGTGCGTCGTCGTGGCGGACGGTATCGAGGAAGCCGTATTCGGCAGGCAGCAACCGCGGAGGCATGCACGGGAATACAACAAAGGTCATAAAGGCGCAGAAGTTCGTGAGCGTGAGTGTCCGGCGAGCGACAGCAAAGGTATCGAATGAGGGGGCGACGTAATAATACCAGCAGATGAAGCTGTCAAATGTCAGTGTTACTCTAGTCAAACTTGCCACACATATTCCTTACCCCACAGTGCCGGGAATGTGAATCAGCGCATAGCACTTGTTCAGCACAGTAAGCGCATCTTGGTGTCCATGCATAAACCACTGTTGGACGTCGCGCTCCCGGAGCGGGAACAGGAAACTCAGAAAGCCAAACTGCTCTGCCTCCAAAACCGAAATCCCATGTTCTTGCGAAACGTCCCAGATGCCTCGTCCAGCAAAAAGCTTAGCAGATGCAATTGCCGTCATGCGGTAGAAGGCATAGTTGATGACCCAGTAAAACATCTCGATCAAAAACGGGAAGCGCTGCAGTATGCGACTGTGTATGTTGTTGCGAAAGCGCGAAGTGTTGGGTGTGGTAACCTTCCAGCAGCCAATACTCCGGACCTTGGGTGCGTTTGGATTCTTGGTCGCATACACGTCGTCCAAGTCGCTGTCGCTGTCTGACTGTTGGAGGAGGCGATCCATCGAATCGTTTGGCGCGTCATCGAGGTAGCCATTTCGACTTGAGGATGCACCAAATATCTTGTAGTTTCGTTTCCGTGTAATGAACATCGCGAAGAAGAGAATGCTGGCGACCATCTAGATGCATAGCCATGTTAGTACACCGCACTTCGCATGCAGAGTCTGCTTTGTGATTTGGGGACGTACGACTGGCTCGCACCATCCTGGCAGTTTCCAGGCTGGTTTGCTGTTCCATTGGCCATTGTCTGGTAGTGTAGAGTTTGCCATTTTGTGTTGGTTGTACCTGAGTTTGGCACGGTGGTACTGTATATGATGCGGCCGGAATGCTATCTCATGAAAGCTATGGTGGAAAGGCTGACGCAATCACGAAAACGGCGGGTAGACCACACTCTAGTATCCCCCTGGAACCGTCGTGTTTCGGATGGCGGTCAAGTTGAGGGTCTGTTGAGTCAACAAAGGGAAAGGAGTAGAGTGGAAAAAAAAACAAGAAGCATAGAGTCCAGATCAAGTGGACATGTCAAGAATAGCAAAGCAGGATGCTTTACTTACTCGGCGCTGCCGCCAACGGGTCGCGTGCGAGTCCGCCGGACGCCGAGCAAAGGAGGCCTGACTCCCTGGCCTGAGAATACGCAAGCGACGTATTGCGGATCAGAGGCTCCACCTTTCTTCACACGTGCATGGGAGGAGACTTGGTCGCGGACAACGAGTCGATGGACTGCCAGCTGCAGTCAGGCCACACACACACACACACAGAGAGATGTCCTTTATTAGTCCGATTTGCCGCCACAATCCTGCTGTCATCTTCAGCCTGGCAGTGTCGCGTGCTTATGTTGAAGGCGTTTATATGACTAACCGCAAGGGTTTGCTGGCGCTGGCTTTGCAGAACTGCCAAGACTGCTTGGGGAAGACCAGGTGTGCAGCGAGCTGACGTCAACGGACGATTGGAACCTAGCCGATGTCCATGGGTCGAGGGCGAAAAGGGGAAAGGGAGTTGCATTGGAGAAGATTTGATCGTCTAAAACGTCTCCATGTCGGGAGGGCTAGCGCCGGGTCTTGTGACAAGCCATGTTCAAAAGTGCATATCGGTGTAGCGCCCAAGTACTTGGCAGCGCTGCCAGGAATCCTGCATAACAAATTATATCAGGCTGAAGCTGCTGCTGCGGTCAGATGCTGAGTGGTATATTGCCAGGATGCATGTGGCTGTCGCACCGCCACCAAAGTGCCCCTGAGGTAGTGTGTTGGTGCAGCACGTCTAAAAATGCTAATGGACATTGCTTGATTCCGCCAGAGGGGCTGTAATAAGAATACGGCGCTTGGCAGACCAGTTCAGGCCTAGCGCCAACACAGCGAGCCAACTCAATTCTCCCGCCATTCTCCCGCCGGCCGAGCCCGCTACCAGTGTGTTTCAGCCTTGCGATCAAGACTTTCCGGTCGTTTCGACATACATATCCATCATGCGAATCGCGATGGGTGTCTGATGTGGATTGTGCATACAACGTACTCGGTGTCCTTCCATCGGCATACTCGGGGCCCGTGCATCTCGGTGCATATGCACGTACGCAGCCTCCTCTTGTGGTTACGTATGTCCATCTATCTTTTTCTTGGCATATTCACGAGCCAATTAAAAGCATAACAGACATAAGCACTACGAAGCTCCGCGCTCTCCCAACATGTTGTGACTGGGTGGAAGCCTTCCCCATCTGGCCTTGAGAGATGCCGATCGCGATAACTATCCTTTGTACGGTAGTTTTCGATTGAATTAGCTGGTAGATTTGCCAATGACCATGGAAGAAACAAGAAACCCATTTGATGCATAGCTTGTGATTGGCTTTGCGCGCCTATTAAGCTACTTACTAGTAAGGAGTTCGAGCTATGTGAACTATTGTCATTGTCAAAACTTGTAAATTTGTCTGTCCTTGTTCAAAGCATAAAAATTATAAATCCGCCATCGCGATATCGTGAAAACGTGTCTCCTAGCAATCTGCACACTTGAGTTACCAGCTACATACATGTGACGTGTCACTATACCAAGTCCAAGCCTACTAGGCAGCAGCAGCAGCACTTTTGACAGTAACAAGGCGTACGTATACCTGGATAGGATAACAGTTTTACCAGTACTCAGCCTCGTGGCAGAATTTCCGCTTTTGAATACGAGGTTTCTACAAAAATTAACCAGGTATATCCTGGCTACGCTGACACTAACTGCCAATCATGGACGTCGTGTTTACCAGTCCTGCGTACTACCTACTTGCAAGAGAAGGTATCGCTCCAGGCTACAGCCAAGGCCAGCCCAATGTCTCAGAGGGCAATGCAGAGTGCGTGTGTTGGCATTGTACTGACATGCATCAAGATGGTAGGTGCTCATAGCAATGGTAGGTGACAGCAGGAGCATGACAAATTCGGATAACAAGACATAAGTGCATATAGGTAGTGGGTATATTTCATTATTCATATCATACTCTCATTAAGTAAGACATTGATCCCCGTCAATGTCATGTTTTTTGGTCGAAACTCTGCCAGATGGAGCCTTTGCTCAAGGCATCATTGATCCCCCCCACCATACATGAACCTCAGTGGTCCCTTCTCTCCAGTCTCCTTTTCATCCGCCGCAGTGGCAACTCCCTAGAGTTTACCGGCGGTTATTCAGCTGCTACTCTGCACCTTCTTGACGATGGCAACAAGACGATCAAATAGGGGGTGGTCCTTTTCGATACCGTTGACCTTGGTGACAACCTCTTCGGCAGAGTTCTCCTTGAGAATCTTGGCGAGCTCGACAGACTCCTCGTCACCCTCGACGTTCTGGAAGCGGTAGGCCTGCTCGACGGCGCCAAGCAGAGCATCAACCTTGTCGCCCCTCTCGGCCAGCTGGGCAGCGGGACCGATGAATCGCTCCTTGCGGGAGAGTTTGCGAAGAGGAGCACGGCCGACACGCTCTACATTGTCTTTGAGGACGGGGTTGGAGATGCGCTTAATGATCTTCTCGACATAGTCGTCTTGCTCTGAGGCACTGACGCCGTGCTTGTTGATGATCAAGTGAGCAGTCTCCCTAACAGCGTCGCGAACAATGTCGTGAAGCTTCTTGTCGTGGAGAACCTCGTGGATGTAGCTGATCTTGTTCTGGTGTCCGTAGTAGGCGGCAGTGGCGTGTGAAGTGTTGACAGTGAAGAGCTTGCGCTCAATGTAGGGCTCGAGGTTGTCGACGTAGTGGATACCCTTAACATCTGGCTTCTTGCCACCGTTCTCGAATGGCTTCTGCTCAACACACCACTCGTGGAACTTCTCGATGACAACGTTGAGGCCGGAGTTCTCAGGCTGCTGTGGGACAATTCGGTCAATAGCCGAGTTGGCGAAGCGGGCCTTGCTGTCAATGTTCTTCTTGGTGTCATCGCTCAGCTTGCCCTCGATGAAGCCCCTCCATGTGGTTGTAGCGTTGATTGCGTTCTCGCAGGCAATGACGGCGAGGGGGTAGTCGAGGGTGCGCTTCTCGATAGCCTTGGCAACGGGCTCAGCAACAAACTTGAGAATGTTGGGGCCGACAGCACAGGTAACGACATCAGCAGAGGCAATCTCGTCAATGACCTTGTCCATCTCGTGCTTGGAGTTGATGGCACGGTAGTGGTCAATGGTGAATTTGCGCTCGCCATCGTCGCCAATCTCGGTGACAGTGTATGAGGGTGTCTTTTGGAGGGATTCGATGATGGAGTCCATGACATCGACGAAGACGACCTCGAAGCCCGAGTTGTGAAGGAACTCGGCGACGAAGCCACGGCCGATGTTGCCACCGCCAAAGTGGACTGCCTTCTTCTCGTACGACATGATGGAGGTGTGTGATTGAGGGGCAGGTGGGATTGTGGATTGTGGTGCTAGGGGCAAGCGTCAACTTGATCTGTTTGGACTGAGAGTAGGGTGTGGTGAAGAGAAGGGGAAGAGGGAGAAGAAGAAGGATGAGGTGGGGTGAGGGAACTGGAGGGGAGAGGGGTTTTGTTTTGGATGTCGAGCAGGGCAGGAAAGCGCGTTTGGTGGGGTATTTGTATGTGTAGCAGGGGCCAAGGCGGGGCTTGGAGCAATGCAGTGAAGGCAGGCAGGTCGTGCAGATGCAGTGGGAGCAGGACTTAGCTGGCCAGACGGGCCGGCGGCTGGGCGGCGTTGCAGGTGCTTCAGCGTGCAGTATTGCGTGGGCGAGAGTGTCGCCGGCCAACGAGTGCGTGTTTACTTGTGTGTTGGGAGGGCAGCCAGCGACCCCCGCAAGGCGGTGACGATGGCTGTGGGTATCCGATTGGGCCGCCAGTGTGGCTTATGGCGGCAGGCACAAACGCGCGAGACCTGGACACACACGCACACACACACACATGGACGCGTCGGGCGCGGGTGAGGGGCTCCATGGACGGGCGAAAGCGACGTTAGATTAATACCTCAATCATGTACATGCTACACAAAAAGTCTCCCTCGAGCAAATGCAACCCTCGAGCGCCAGCAACATCTTCTCGGCCGTGGACGCAGCGCCGCGTCGTGTGATGCTCAACAAGACTACACATACGCTCCGGCTCCATGACAGTGTCTGGTGGGCGGGCGCATCAAGCACGAAGACGTCATACGTCATCGACAAACTAGGCCCGAGTGGAGCAATCGCTGCCTTCTCCCGCCGGCGGTTTGCGCTAAGCCCAGTTGGTCCGCCTTTTCCTCCAGCGGTGCCCCGCCATGGGCAACGACCATCGTAAAAAACTGCGCAACAACTGATCGTCATCGATGGCTGTGGGTATCGCGTGATGTCAAACATTATTATATCTAGTTGGGCTCCCGATGCTGGCCAAAAGCCCGACCCTAGGCGTGAATGGCCTGCTGGACATGTGGGTACACAGCTACCATGCGGTGGTAGAGGTCCGGGTGCTCGCGCATGAGGACATCGGGGTCCCACGCCATCGCAACAAAGATCGTGTCGATGCCGCTGCTCAACGGCGTCGTGAAGATTTTGCCTGCTGACAGTTAGTAGGCGTCCACCACTCACCACGCTTCCGTCGCACTTACAGATTTGCAGCCCAATCAGGAAAGCAAAAGCCACCACAACCGGCGTGTATCCTCCATCCGCGTTGTACGCTGGAGAGGTGAAGATGAGGTACAGATAGGCCAGCAGTGCGCATGCGTATGCGATGAAGGTGGCGCCCATGGAGAGCACCGGTCCGATCAAGCACTCGTTGACGAGCGCATCGATACCGCGATCCTTGATCATCCTGACAAAGTCAGCTTGCTACTCCCAAATCTATCGTCTTCTCACCACTTACCTCCACGTATTCTTCGCAGCCGCAATGTAACTCTTTCCGTAGAGTGCAATGTAACTGAACGCATATCTGTTCAAGAACTCAACCGCCCACTCCAGAAGGGAGATGATGCAGCCGAGTATACAGAACAGGATTGTTCCGACCAGATTTCCCTCGCCAGATGCGTTACGTTGAGCAGCGGAGCAAACCTGTCGCAGGAACTGGATAATGGCCACGAGCAAGCTTCCAAGACTGATGCTGCCGAAACTGTATGTCATGGCGCGCTTGAACGCACCCCGAGTTGCGCCTCGAGGCATAGCGTTGGGCGCAAAAAACCACGAGCCATACACGCCAGAAATGGTGACATGGATGGTGTTCTTGAGCCACCTATTGTGCTGTTAGCAAACAAATCCGCCCCCGGGCCTGGGCCATAGCAACTTACTCTGAGATCCAGTACATGGCAAATGTGACAAAGACAAGCAGACCAATGACCTTGCCATTGCCGCAATTGCCAACGCCGTTCCTACAATTGGAGTTTGCTCCGTTCGGCGTATACTGGACATAAATCGAGACCAGTGTAACCGAGTACCATGCACCCAGTGCCGCAGCAAAGATTCCGCCGCCCAACGAGACAAGGTAGGTATGTCCGTACCTCTTCGACACGTCAATCACAGTCTGCAGCATGAGTACACTGAACGGGATCCTGGGAATCCAGCTGATGAAGCAGAAGACGTAGAAAATGCTGAAGATCAGAAAGACAATGCCTCCAGACCAGTACCGTCTGGAAAGCATGTAAATGGCCGTGACAAAGCCAAATACAATGTTGAGGATGCCGGTGATCCAGATGAACTGCTTGGTGAACTTGCGCGCCGCCCAGATGTACGCGTAGCTGAAGACAGTAGCCATGCCGAGAACGAATGCGAAAAGGATAATCGTGTTGGAATTGAGCGCGAAATTGTTAGTATTGTTGCCGTAGATGCCTCCACTGTTGGTTCGCGCTGCATCAAGCCATCAGTATTCCCCTTGACGTGTCGAATCGCAAACTGGTACATGAAATACTGACCATATCCTCGAATGGAGATTGCGCTCACAGCAACATAACCCAGAAACACGGCGATGAAGAGCAGACCCGCCCACCAGTCATTGTACTTTGGCTTGTCGAGCTTGAATGTCTGCTCAAAGCTCTGCTTCTCGTTGCCATAGCCACTCTGCTGATATCCGTTGTTTTGCTGCATTGGTGGTGGTCCTTGGGGCGGCGCATAGCCCTGGTTGTACTGGGGAGGCTGCTGTCCGTAAGGCTGACCCTGGTAGTATGCGCCCTGAGGTTGCTGGGGCGGTGCGCCGCCTGAATAGTAGTCGGCAGCTTGCCCCTGGGAAGTCATTTCGACGGGCGATGGCGGCCCTGATGAAGCAAACAAGTCGCGACGATGGGCGCAGGACGATTAGAAAAGAGGTGTAGCAGTCAACAAGAGACTGGACTGGCCAGACGAGATGATGTACCGCCGGCGTCATTAGGAGCTAAATACCATTCATCTTGGGTGCGACGGTGCTATTGGTGTGGCTGAAGATCGGCACTGCATGTCATGGGCGCTGTAGACTGGGTGCACGGCTTCGCAGGCGCGTCGTGCTGTGGCTGCCATCTTGTGAAAGACGCTATCGGCGGCCTAGATGCAAACCGCTTGCAGGTTTCCCTGCTGCCAAACCCTAATCTCCATGCATTGGCCCTTGGTTCGTCTCCTCGACCAGCCCGCGCATGCTGCATGCACTCTAAAGTCTTTCTTACCACAACGCAAACCTGCCAAATACCGCCGACCAAAAGAAAGAAAAACAGGGAACATGACGCCGTTGACCCAGTTGGCAGTCGTGGCGCCACGGACTCGTCGCTGCGGCTATACTTGTGGCTGAAAAGCTTGTGTGCCGATCGTCCGTTACTATGGGCGTCCCGACATGTCGTGATGTGAAGCTACGGCACAACGGAAAAGTGCCGAGTATGCCGGTTCAAGGGGATTGGTTCCTTGTACAACTCTATCGCGATCACTCGTATTGTCAATCTCAAGATCATGTTTACATTGATCTATCAAATCGTCTCGGGATTTCAGCGGCATGGGATAAATGAGATTTGATTGGTCCAAGGAAACGCGGCCGCTATACACATGTCTACCTCCATCCCAACCCTGAACCCTTCTTTTTACTCTACTTGCAAGTCGCACCGCATGTAGGTGCACTGAAGCTGTTGCAGTAACTGGCTGTTTCACAAGTAGACCCTACAATCTGTCCATGACAACCAACCACTAGTGCGGACAGTGTTAGCAGATGTTATTTTAATTCAACCAAGCCAACCTACCCATGCACACTTTTCCACCAGAGCAATCGGCTTTTGTGCTGCATGTGGCACGAGCCGTCAAGCCCTCTACTGGCTCGGCAGGAAAGGCAACACTGGTCGCCGTCAAGAGCGAAAGTACAGTGGTGATCAGAGTAGTCGAACGCATGGTGTCAAGATTGCGGAGCTGACTGGCGTAAATAGGTATAATATGCTTCAAAAAGATGAAAACGTAGGAGATTGCCTGATATCGCGTTGGTGGCTCGAGGAAAGTTGTTGTGATACCCTTCATCACGAAACTGCCTTGATCTTTATATCTCGAGAATCTGCGAAACAGCCGAATAGGACCACACCTCTCCACCAAGCAAGCCGAGAACTCTGTGCCATGGCGAAGCAGAATAGCCGTTACGAGGTAGTATGCACTGCCAACGGTGGTGGTCCCTGAGAAGGAAGGAACTTCAGCCGCACCTGAGCCGTTACGTACCAAAATCTCCGTTGTTCCCTGTTGGACGTAACATTTGCACTGACCACAAAGCAACCCCGTCGCCAATCTTGGTGCTATATGTAGCGCTTGTGAGTCAACGGTTACATCGTATGCTTCCCTGAGCAGCGGTGTAACAGCATGCCAAGGCTCTCTTCAGGTGGAAAATGAATGCCAAGCCGGAATACTTTGGTGGTGTGATGGGCCTGAGTGTCAAAATTCCAGCAGTTTGATTCGCAGCATGCTGACGGGTAAATTACTGTGACAACAACCGCTTCAAGTTCTCCACTACTTTGATATCTGCAAGCTGAATAGATGTACCAGACCGCTTGATCTCAGCTATGTCTCGTAGACATACACACAGTGACAGTCTTGGTAGCTGAGTTAAACGTAGCTCGATTGAATTCTCTAGGATTGGACACTGTGACAACTGTACGAGGAATTCGGTGATTGAAAGATGAATGACAATTGTATGAGGGATTCGGCGACTTGAACAATATGAAAGTATAGAAATATCCATGGAGAATTGATCACAGCAGCCTGCTACACCATAGTCTTCAAACACATTCTTCAATAACTCACTCACCAAAGCCCTACATCACCGCCTAAGACGCAACTCAACCATCACCATGGTCGCCTTCAACACCCTCATCACCCTTGCTCTCACCCAACTCGCCATCACCGTATCTGCCGGTGACTGCAAAACCCACCAGCTCTACTGCGGCTCGACTCTTAAGTGGCGCGGTACGTCTCCCTCCCATTCCCCCCACATCCACCACTTTTCCTGCTGTTCACTTCCTAACACAATCACAGGCTGGACCAACTCTGAAATCCAGGGCAAGGTCCTGCAAGACACATGGAACAATGGCCAGTACCCTGCTGTCGACCAGATCGACAAGTCCCTCTTCAAGTGTGCGGGACAAGGCAAGACGCTCGTTTGGGCTAATGGACGTACCCCCTGTGGCAACTGTGTTGATGGCGGAGCCGGCAAGCCCGACTACTGTGCTTAGATTGCTCAATCTTCCGAGTGAAAAATGTAGTGTCTGGGGGATTTTCTCGTGGTTGCTCAGAAAAGAAGAGAAGGCAACTCCTGCATATTTTATCAGCGGCACTTGGTGGTATCAACAATCTTCAAACATCTTAGAAAATTTCGAATTTGCTTCGACATACCCTGTCTTGTGCCTCATGCAGTCTTTTCCTTCTTCTCCCTCTCTTTGTTATGTGCCCAGACGTAAAAGAATGGGTATACGGTTTCTGGAAGTAAAGTGACAATCATGCCGCCGACACTCCACCAATTCCCTACATACGCCCAGTTCTCAGGCACATTAATGTACCGCCAGATGAAAACCAAAAACGCCGTGATGCACCCAAGGTATCTCGTAATCCTGTTCTCATTAGCCTCATCCCACATCTCGTCATCTCCAATAGAAGGGATAGGCCGCCAAAAAAAAACCCCCCTCCTATACTCAAAACAATCAAGAAAAGGAAAACGCTTTAAACATACCAAATCTCCAACGACTGCCCCTTGGTATCCCCCCTCCTCAGCAAATAATAGATCTGCCCCCACCCAATCGGCAACTCAAGATACAAGCCCGTAAAAAACGCAGTCTTCTGCTCCCTTTCATCCGGCCACATCCCCCCCGCCCACCACAAAAACCCCATCCACGCCGGTGTCTGCCACAGCAGCTTTACAATCGTCCTCGCCCGCTCCCCAGGCCGATACGCATACGCCAGCGCCACCGACACAAACGTAATGTCGAACAAGAACCACACGAAGAAGCACGCGCGCTGGAACGTCGTCGATGTACATACCCACGCGTAGTAGATTTCGTACGCCATGGTCGCGCTGAGGAACTGCACGGTGCCTGCGAGAACGCCGTCGCTGTACGTGCGGATGGTGTAGAAGGCGTAGCAGAGCGTGTACAAGATGCCGCAGGATATGATTAGGAAGTCGGTGATGAAGAAATAGGATTCGGGGGGGTTGAGGGATACATCGCTGGACTGGGGGATTAGGTGGTGCAAGGATGCTTTTTGGGCGGCTTTGAAGGGCATGGTTTTTTAGGGGGGAGAAATAGTAGAGGTTAGTGAGATGGGGGTTTTTGTTGTTGTTGTTGTTGTTATTGATGTTGTTCAAATCGTGCTTGGGTGTGGTATAGTCTATCTTTTTAATGATGTACGGGTTCGGGAATATGCGGGTACGAAGGATATTCCGATGGAGAAGTAAAAAGAAGGGGTGTATTTTCGCGCGAGAGTAGTCACTACTATTCAATAAAAGCAAACTTGGTGCGTTGGTTGTAAGGTAAGTACTTTCCATATATTTCAACTATGAAATCACTGCTGACAATGCCTAGCTTCCGTCATGCTCCGGGCGAGGCAGTGCTCTTGCGGGTGGTGGTGGATCCAATATCCGGAAGTGTTTTTCTCCACATAATGCGCCTGACTTGCTGCCTAGTATCCGCGTCTTCCACACATCCGGCATCCGTAAGCACATCTCATTGTCGCACTCAATCCCATCATTTACCCATCTGGGCTGTACTGCTTCTTATTCGTATTATTTCTAGTAGCAAGATAATTGACATGGGCCTAACGTGATTACAAATACAATTACGACCACACAACGGAGTAGGCGTGTTTACATGTGAAGTTCAAGTCTGTGATGGCTGATGACGTATGCGCTGGCGCATGTCGCGAACATCGTGTAGCCTCAGGGTATGTCTAAGTTATCCGCGCTAAGCGCAATGTGGACCAATGTCACAAATGCAGTACATTCGCCTATGTCTCTTGGTTGCTGCACCGAAATGATGAACAGCTAATGTGAATTTTAGTGGTATTGATATAGACCACAAATGTCGATGTTGAAGTATATGGGTACAAAACACATAGAGGAAAGATCGAAAACCTCTGATGCGACACCTCGCAAACCTCCCTAGCATGATATGATGTGACGTTAATCGTAGCGCGAGAACGTCCATGAACGGGACCTCATCTCTTAGTTCCTTCTGGGCCTAGGGCTCTTCGAAGGTCTCGGACTCCTAGGTACCAGACTTTCACCCTGAGCCTTCATCTTTTCCATAGCCTGCTCGACCTGCTGTTGCTTCTTCGCCACATGCCTATGTCGCTTCTCGACTTCTTCTTCAAACTCTTGCGCAAGCTTACGCTTTTTCTGCCTTGCTTGCTTCATGCGCTGAATGATACTCTGAAACTGATCAAGAAACCAATCCCCAGCATCCTCCCATTCACTAGTAGGGAGGGAGGAAAAGAAATCGGCTTGCTTGTCTGGGTTGAGATTCTTCTGTACCAGGACGAGACGTTCGGATAAAGGTTTCTGGGCATCTTCCTCATTGAGAACAGCAGGTTTCGCACGTGGATCGGTATCGAAGCTTTCATTCTTGAGGCTTTCATACTTGATGTTGAAGAGCGTCTCAGGGTCATAATCTTCGATTTGGATAGCCTGAGGCTCCTCAATTGCAACCTGTTCGACTGGGGGTTGGTAGCTTGTTTGTTTGGGTATCGCTTGCGCTGAAAAAGGGTACTCTACAGGTGCAGGTGGCTCCATTGGCTTTACGGGTTCGAAATGGAACTGCACATGGGAAGGACCAGGTTCTTGACGATGGACATATTGCTGATTATTGGCTTCGATATGGGTGTTCTGATAGGGATTTGCAATCATGGGAAAACCAGCAGCAGCAACCCTTGCATTTGGCTGACTGTAAGCGGGTGGCTGGCCGGACTGAGCTACGACACGATGCTGCTGAAAGTTTTGCCTAGGTTGTTGCACAGTGGGCGCATTGGCGCGTGTCTGATCGCGGAGTTGTGCAGACTGCTCAAACAGCTGCGAAGGCTTATGGAGGCTCTGCCTCGGGACTGGCATATACAGTTTCTGTTGGCGATGTGTTGACTGCAGCACATTTGGCTGTCCAGGCTCATGCTTGACGTTGAGGTGCTGACGGAATGGAGAGCTTTGACGACCTTCATAACGATTATCGGAAGGCGGCTCCTGGATACCATCCAATTCAGAAGGCTCGCCGTTTGTGGTAGTTGGGTATGAATCGCCATCGATGTTTGGCAGACCCGTTCGTCCCGCTTGCTGTAGGAATACAATCTTTTGACTTTGCTCTATATGACTAAGTCCTTGCTGCTTGAGAAAGTCTTCATCATCTTGGGTGATGCCTTGGTTTTCCTCTTCGTAAAGATGCTCTGACTCTTCGGAGCCTAGATTGCTTTCTCCCACATCGTCACTCACACCAAGGTCAAAGACTTGCTCATTCCGTGGAACGCCCTCTACTTGAACAACAGATTGATCGATAGTAGTGTCTAGGCTTTCTGCATCAGTATCGTAGGGATCACGTTTTTGACTGTGACCTTGAGCCGAATGAGCGCGTCGAGGGTTCTGCAGGACAGCTGAGCTGTTCTGAGCGTTGGCAGACCCACGTCCCAGGGCTCCAGATACTGGTGTACGTCGCTGGGAAGGAAGTCCATTTTTGATTGGCACCCTTGCATTAGCACCAACAGCTTGCCGGCCAGTCTTGGGTACGTGTTGGGCATTGGTTAGAGCATTATGCGGACTGTTGGTGTTTTGCCGGTCTTTGACAAAGCCTTGCATAATGAATGAAGGATCAGCCCTTTGTACTTGAAGTATCAAAGTGCAGAGTGATTTGATTACCGTGTCTTCGACTGGGTATGGAAAGGTGAAAGTCTGACTTCGAACAGGAAAGCGCGTCACAGACATAGTCTAGCCTGTTATGGTCAAGCCCCACTTTCTAGAGCAATGACGATGTCTTATCTCCGGACTCGGTGCACTGCAGTAGCTGTCAAGTTCCCGTTGCTGATTCTTGACATCTACACCTCTGCAAGTAAATATATCTAGAACTAACGAAACTTTCTTTTGCCTTATTTGTATCAATGGAGGAGTGTTATCTCTACAGGCTCCCCAACGAGGTATGGCATCTTAGAAGGCCATCTCATCTCACCTCGACTAACCATTACAGCTACTCCTTCACCTTTTCGCACCGATGCCAACACTAGACCTTCTGCCTTTGACTACCATTTCGCGCCGCATATACTCGCTCATCTTACGCATTTTGCATAATCGCCTTGTCGCAGCTGCAGAACTGAACTCACACTCCGTACTTCTCGAATGCTTCCACCCGTCTGCGAAACTTACCGAGCCGCCTTACTTTTGCACATATCGAGGCACTGATGGCTTGAAACTATACCATGACATTGATCCAATCGAGAAGAATGTAGGCAGATTGGGTGAGATGTATAGAATGTACTCTCGTTACCGACCACACAGACGTGATCTAGAGGCTAGTGGCAGAAGGGTGAAGCCACGACCGGGAGACGTCCCTGGCAGTCGCACTTTTCCGGGGACAGTGCAGGATCCATTTGACGGAGAATCGGTCAAGCAGATGTTGAGCCTGGAAGCACATGAGCTGTTCACGCAATTGATTGCACAAACGAACCTTGTTAAGATCGGATCGCACAACCTTTTCACAAACGTTGTTGAGGTTGAGGATGGTGTGCTTAGGGTATGGAGAGAGTGGTTGAAAAAAGTTTCAGCAAGATGCATAGCAGACAACCGAATAGCGTCGAACGAGGTAGTCAAAGAAGTGGGTAAGGGCAAGGAAGTGGTAAGAGAAATCGTCGAACAAAAGGCAAATCTCGAGGATCCAAGCATATTGTGGGTGAGCCCGAGGAAGGACAGCGGCATACGCTTCAATGCGCGTGAGAGAAAGCTCCGCCGGAACTTACCCATTCTCATCAGCGCAGATGAGGATGAAGACATGCCTGTTACCTACGAGATTGAATTTGATGGTAAGCAACATGATGGTTTTCTACAACACCGATCTAGCTGCTGACATCATACAGAGCTTCTCATTCGCACGTCGCATCTCTTGTTAATGCTTGAGAAGTCAATGCTGCAGGAGGACAATTTATCTGGCAAGGCTGTTGTTTTTGGTTCATTTGGATAGTACCAACAAACACAACGAATGAAAAAGAGATTAACTCAATCAAAAAAGTGGTCTAGATTCTCGGCTGACAGTGGAGCCACCCCTCACGGCAACCGAATAACCAAACCTCGGAGCCGCATAGCGTATCTGCAAGACCCGCATCGAAGTGCAAAAAACGCCTTGTTTGCTCAATAGCCAAAAAGAATTGAATCAGGTATGTGACCTCGAGGCGATTTGAACGCCTAACCTTCAGGAAGCTCCAGTGGTAGATACTGGAATCTGACGCGCTACCATTGCGCCACGAAGCCTGATTGGATGAGAGATGTTGCAAATTGTAAAATCTATATACTTTGCCAAATTCCATCTTCAAAGGATAGAAACCTAGAATAGTAAACAAAAACAAAAATTCAGCGTAAACTCATCGTCCCAAAGGCCACGTCTCAACTTTTTGGTTTTAATTTACGCTACACCGGCTTGGTCTCTAGCACAAATCCTCGCTGCATGCATTCCTTCCGCCCCACCTGTCCCCACGTGCCGGCAGACATGTATGCAGGGCCCTCTAGACTAGCAAAAAGGAGAATTCCTTAAGCGATACAAGTACTCGGAATTGACAAAAAAACTGTAGCTGTTCTCCGCTCCCAGAATCGAACTAGGGACCTTTCGATTACAATTGCAATTACAGTCGAACGTGATAAACCAACTACACCAAGCGGAGGAATCCAGATAACTGGGCTTGTGATTTGATGGGAAAATTCGATTTAGTATGGTTATTATACTCCAATAAATTGTTCAGGAACAAATCAACACTACGGCTGGATGCCTGAGTTGTGTAATGCAGCGCTGACAACTCATGAACCAACAGTAGAACACCGAGTCAAGCTTCGAGAACTCACACAGTATACATATCACCCAACATGCCGTCAAGTCTAGTTATCGTTAAATTCATCATGCCCATGTAAAGTACAAGAAAATCCCGTAAGCAGTCGCAGGTCCCACCGTGAATGGCATCGTAGCCGTGGGGTATTCGGAAAACCGGAAAAGAAGAAAAAGCAGCAATAGTCGTAGGAGCAGGTCCATCTCTGTGAGCGGAAACCTTGCAAAATAGGCAGTGGTGCATAGCACATGGCACTGTCCATCGATGCTCAATCCCTGAAGTCTCGAGAAAGAAAATACAGGTATCCCTCCGAAGGAGCAATTTCTCTGAAACTCCATTACCAAGTGTCGTGATTTGAGGAGTCACAACCTGCAATAAGGAGTAGGGGTTGCACCCGGTCGATGTGTCTAACCCGTCAATACCGTAAACGCCGTTGAAATGCCCTAAACCAAGCCTCGTAACATCGAATTGGTGTGTGAAATGTTTGTGAAGACTGAGCTTAGCACGATCAGTTAGTTGTCCTGGGCAGTCTCGATCTGAGCGTACTCCATCCAGTGACCGTTGGCTGCCTGCTTCCAGGTACGGATGCTGGCATCATCGCCGGTAGTCACGAGGAGATCACCTAAGGATATTTGTTAGCGCTGTCATCAAGCTATAGATCTGATTAACACATACCCATCTGGGAGAAAGCGATACGCCAGACAGCTCCATGGTGTCCAGTGAGTTCATCCTTCAAGGCAACTTCCTGAGTGATGCGACCCGGGTTCTGTTCGTTCTCGAGAGACATGGCCGGCGCCTTGGAAGCACCAGCCAGCCCAGCTCCTATGCCAGACTGTGCACCATGCTTGAGACCTGCGCGGGACGATACAGATGGTGCGACAGCCGACGAGGAAGTTCCAGACGCGTGGGCCTTGTCTGCAGTAGTTGTAGTGAGCTCGTAGATGCGAATAGCACCATCTTTGCTAGCCGTAGCCAAGATGTCATAACCGCGCATGGAACCGTTTGCCCAAGCCAGATCACGAATGACTTGACGCGCGCCAGTGAGCTTTGCAACTTGGAAGAACCGCTTAGCCTTGTCAGTACGGAAGATCAGGACGTCTTTCATAGCAGCAACGGCGAGGGACAGTGACTTGCGATCGAGGCCTGCAGTGATAGCGGTCCAGCATGGGAGCTTCTCCTTGTGGAAAACAACCTTGAAGCCCACCTCTTCTTGGCGCTCAGGAGGGTTGTTCTCAGAAACCCAGCGCTCTGCCAAGATGGTCCACTCGTGGAGATTACTCTGATCCTGAGGCTCGTACACGGTGAGGTAGCCGTCACGGGTGATGAGCGCAAGCCATGTCTCCTGCATGATGTTCTTGAAATCCAAAGACATAAATGGAGCATTGGTCAGCGAAGCCAGATTGTAGAGCAACTTGAAGCGATTGCCAGACAAGGCAACCTCAGTGACATCCTCTTGCCAAAGCTTACAGCGGCCATCCTCTCCGATGCTGCCGACAACCTCGCCCATGAAGGGGCCGTTCCACTTGACCTAGCATTGGATTAGCCACAAGTTATGAAGGTGGCAAATTACATGCAGACAAGCTAAACGAGGCTTGCGGCTGACGACAAGATCACTCACATCAACTATCTCGGCATCATGAGCCTTCCAGCTCTCAACCAGGGTCCACGAATCGTCTTTCTTGTCCCAGACCTTGAGGCGATGGTCAGAACTCGCCGTGACCATGCGCGTACCAAAGTAGTTGAAGTCGACGGCAAGCACGAGGTCTTGGTGGCCATGCGAGAAGGTCTGAAAGCTACGCTCAGCCGCCATGGTCTGATAGGCGCGACGCGCAGCCACAAAGGCAGTTTCGAGGTGATGGGCGACTTGCTGATCAATGTGGCCTGGGCTGCCGTCGGCACAAGGCTCTTGAATCAACGGAGCGATCAAGTCCACGTGCTCAATCTCATCCTCGAACGAGACGGCGAGGTTGAGATTGGACGGGGGATGAGGCAACCGTGCTTCTTCTCGGGTGGGGCTGAGCGAAGACGACTCGCTAACCGCTGCGGAAGGCAGTTGGGACGTAGTCAACCGTCGAAGAAAACCCGGGGTTGCAAGATGCTGGCTCACGGCATTGAGCTCGTCCAGGAACGGGTCGGGCCTTGCAGAGCGGCCTGTCTGGTTGTTGCTGGTCATGATGGTGCCAATGTTCGTGGGTCTAACGTTTCGGGTTAGTAGAGCAGGAAGAAGCCGGACCATGGCAAAACAACACCTTGCAAGAAGTTCTGCTCACCAATACACCACGTTCGCTACTCTGCGCAAATTGCTTTTTTCTTCTTTAGTTGCTGCTCGCTCACCCTGCAGGCTAAGCTGGGATCGGTCGTTGCGGGTTGAAGGCCTATTCTGTGTTTCTTTGTCAGTCGCAATACCCTTCCAACACTCTACGCAAGGCCGGATTGAGGTTAAACCCGCGAGGTTCGAAGGTGCGGAGAGGTGTCGATTTGACGGTGTTGAGTTGAGGGCACACGTCTGCTGTTGATATCGTCGCGAGAGCAAACGGCGGACTGCAACTCACGTGCCAAGATCCGCCGTCACTTCGACTTTTGATTCACATTACGGTCACGATGACGAGCGTATTGTCATGGGCAGAATCACTTTCACTGTTGTCCCTGTCAGTCGCATGCGCGGGTGTGCTGGCAAACACGCTTCACGGTGACGGTGAGCCGCTTGTAGCGTCGATAGCATTCAGCGGATTGGCGTTCGTATCCTGCTATGCATTAATACGATGGCTCGGAGATGCCTTCATGAAGCGTGGCTTCAAAGGAAAGGATCTCTGTAAGCTGAAGCAGACTGAGATGTAGGTGCCAAGCCTTCCCCTGACCACCGCATCTTGCTAACGTTAACAGACCGGAGATGATGGGAGCAGTGTGTGCAATGGTGTATCTCTTCATTATTATTTTTTTCATCCCATGGCCGTTCTACAAGGACATTGTGGTCGCAACCTCAGGGGGCGGCAACAGAGATATCATCAAAGAACTGGAATTAATCGAGACGGGCAGGCTTCTGCACAGATTTCCTCACAACAAGCTTGCATCGTATCTATCGGCCATTCTGTCACTTCAGACTATTGTGCTGCTCGGTGTTGGCGATGACTTGTTCGACATAAGATGGCGCCACAAGGTGCTCATCCCAGCTTTTGCAGTCATCCCCATGCTTGTTGTATACTTTGTCGACTTTGGCGTCACGCAAATGGTTGTCCCTGTTCCGCTCAGGCCTTATCTGGGCGAGTTGTTCGATCTCGGTATGCTTTTTATCTGAAACTGAGTGTATCGTCTGGATACTGACTTAGCACAGGATGGTTGTACTATGTCTACATGGCACTCATGTCCATCTTCTCTTCCAACAGCATCAACATTTTGGCAGGCATCAACGGCATTGAAGTGGCTCAGTCGGTGGTCATTGCAGTTCTGATTGTTATCAACGACATGCTGTATCTTTCGCCCTTTACGCCCTACCCTCACCCGGCGACAGACTCTCATCTTTTCTCGCTGTACCTACTGCTTCCCTTTATTGGAGTCTCTGTTGCGCTGTTGATGCATAACTGGTATCCGGCAAAAGTGTTTGTGGGCGACACGTACTGCTACTTTGCAGGCATGGTGTTTGCTGTTGTTGCGATTCTCGGGCACTTCAGCAAGACGCTGATATTGCTCCTTGTACCACAAGCATTCAACTTTGTCTACTCAGCACCCCAAATCTTCCATGTCATTCCGTGCCCCCGACATCGGCTTCCCCGTTTCAATGCACGGACTGGACTGCTAGAGCCCTCGCGCGTTGAATTCACCAAACCGCTGCGAAAACCGATAGCGGAGAGTCTCAAGGTGCTACACCGGCTTCGGATGTTGGATGTTGAAGTCAATGCCGAAGGGCAGGTGGTTTCGTCGAGTAACTGGACGCTAATCAATTTGTGGCTGGTGTGGTTTGGGCCGATGCGGGAGGATCGGCTGGCCATGGGTCTGCTGGTATTCCAGTTCGCCATTGGCATCTTGGGCCTGTTTGTTCGGCATCGGATGGCATTGCTTATCTTCACCGCTGATAACTTGTAGACGGTTTGGGATGGCGGATTTTGTTAAGTTTGGCTTGCGTGGCATAACGGCGTCCATTGGTGTTGATATTTAGACTTTGATGTATAATACCGAGCATCAGCGTATGCTGTGACAGCAATCGAGAGCGTAGCACTCGGCTACTTCATGTCGCCCCGGAACATGGCGGGAGCACGATCTTACAATGATCCATGCTGTACGCGGTCGAGTATCCGTGGCTCTTGCATGTTGAGGTGGCGAATCGGAGTATGGAAAAAGAGGCTGACTGTACAAGTCGCCTGCCAAGGCCTCACGGCGGGGCAGCCAGAATGCGGGGCAGTGACAGCGGCGGCTGGCAGCGCTTGAGCTTCGTCACCGACTCGGATATGCTCCGTACCTTGACTGGCTCTTACCACACCATTGGAGATGCGCTGCAAGGTTACCTTTCCACATGTACTGTACTTATCGCATAGTACCGCGCCATTAGCCATCGTCCGCTGCGGAATGCCCTGGCCATCCGCAAAATACCGCAGCCCGGCCGGCAGTGGGCATTAGAGTGCGCAGTCATCATTCGCCATGTGATTGGTGGCGGTGCCCCTCCCACCCCAACTCCGAACATCGGCCAGCTTCTTTTTGTGCTTTGCTCGCCATCCATCGGTTCGAGTTCCACACGCGTCTTTTAAGCCGATATCTGCCCTTTAAGATCTGTCGGTCATCGCACATCTCACTCTCTTCACTCTCTCAGTTCACGGTTCTCTAATCCCAAGTTTACCTTCTTGTACGACTTGCATTTTATATCTCCACTATGCCGTCTGCTGTGAAACAACCACAGACCTTGTACGACAAGGTCTTTGAGGACCATATCGTTGAGGAGAAGGAGGACGGCACAGTTCTGCTCTACATTGGTACGCGTTGTCCCATGCATTTCAAATCATTTCCACTGACAAATCTGCAGACAGACATCTTGTCCACGAAGTGACATCACCAGTAGGCAAACCCCGGAATCTTTACAACTCCCTCCAAAACTTACCAACCACCTACAGCAAGCTTTTGAAGGCCTCCGAAATGCCGGCCGCAAAGTACGAAGACCGGACTGCACTCTTGCAACAGTAGACCACGTACGTCATGGATCTTCATAACCCACCCGCTTGCTAACATGAGCAGAACATTCCTACTGCGTCACGAAAAAACCTCACTACGACGGAGAAGTTCATCGAGGAAGCCGATTCCCGGTTACAATGCATGACTCTCGAAGAGAACGTCAAGGCGTTTGATCTCACATATTTCGGCCTCGACGACAAGAGGCAGGGTATTGTCCACATCATCGGACCGGAACAAGGCTTCACGCTACCCGGAACAACAGTCGTATGTGGTGACAGCCACACATCTACACATGGCGCTTTTGGTGCCCTCGCCTTTGGTATCGGTACGAGCGAAGTCGAGCACGTTCTGGCGACACAGACCATCATTACCCAGCGGAGTAAAAACATGAAGGTCCAAGTCGATGGCGAGCTGGGCCCTGGCGTTGGTAGCAAGGATGTCATTCTACATGTCATTGGTAAGATTGGCACAGCTGGAGGAACTGGTGCCGTTATCGAATTCTGTGGTTCGGCTATCCGCGGTTTGAGCATGGAGGCGCGCATGTCCATGTGCAACATGTCCATTGAAGGAGGTGCAAGAGCTGGCATGATCGCACCCGACCAGACCACCATTGATTACCTTAAGGGAAGGCCATTGGCACCAAAGGTCGACAGCCCAGAATGGAAAAAGGCATGCAGCTACTGGCTCGGCCTGAAGTCAGATGAAGGTGCTAAGTACGACATCGAGGTCTTGATCGACGCAAAGGACATTGCCCCAACAGTTTCTTGGGGTACCTCTCCCCAGGATGTCGTCCCTATTACTGGCGTTGTGCCAGGTCCCGACGATTTCCAGGATGAAGTTAAGAAGGCGGCATGCGCGCGTTCCTTGAAATACATGGGCTTGACCGCTGGTACCCCTATGCAAGAGATTTCGGTGGACAAGGTCTTCATCGGATCTTGCACCAACGCTCGTATTGAGGATTTGCGATCTGCTGCACGGATTGTAGAAGGCAAGAAGATCGCCTCAAACATCAAGCGCGCCATGATCGTACCTGGATCTGGTCTTGTCAAAAAGCAGGCGGAAGCCGAAGGCCTAGACAAGATCTTCACTGATGCTGGATTTGAATGGAGAGAGGCCGGATGCTCAATGTGTCTCGGCATGAACCCTGATATCCTTTCTCCCGGTGAACGATGTGCGTCAACATCAAACCGTAACTTCGAGGGTCGACAAGGTGCTGGTGGCCGTACTCACCTAATGTCACCCGCCATGGCTGCCGCCACTGCCATTGTAGGAAACCTAGCCGATGTACGAAAGCTCGCCCCAGAAATCTCAACAGCGGCCAAGGGCTCACCGAAGATTGAACTCGACGCTCATGTAGAGGCCCCAAGTAGCGATGAGGAGTTTGATAAACTCATGGACCAGCCCAGCTCGGGATCTCAGCATACTGCTTCGAACACGCCTAGCACAGGAAACGCCCCTGCCGGCATGCCCAAGTTTGAAACGCTCCGCGGATACGCAGCACCCATGGACATTGCAAACATTGACACCGATGCAATTATCCCTAAGCAGTTTCTCAAGACTATCAAGCGCTCCGGCCTTGGCAGCGCACTCTTCCATGCCTGGCGCTACGAAGCCGGCGGTGACAAGGAAAACCCAGACTTTGTCCTGAACAAGGAGCCCTACCGCAGTGCTAAGATCCTGGTCTGCACTGGACCCAACTTTGGCTGCGGATCAAGTCGAGAACATGCCCCTTGGGCTCTGCTTGACTTTGGTATCAAGTGTGTTATCGCCCCTTCGTTTGGTGACATCTTCTTCAACAACACATTCAAGAATGGCATGCTTCCCATCCGTATTGAAGACGTAGCTACCATCCAGCGTATCGCCGACGAGGCGAGTGCCGGTAAGGAGATTGAGGTCGATCTCCCCAACCAAGTCATTCGTTCTGCCGATGGTACCGAGCTAGCGAAATTCGACGTCGAGGAGTTCAGGAAACACTGCCTTGTCAATGGTCTGGACGACATTGGCCTTACCATGGCTAGTGTTGACAAGATTGAGAAGCACGAGCAGAAGCGCACTGCGGTCTGGCCGTGGCTGGACGGCAGTGGCTACCTAAAGAGACATGGTAAGGGACCAGTCAAGATTCAGGCGCAGCCTGTGCCCAAGACCAACAGGGGCGAGGAGCTCAAGGAGCCGCTTGAGTGGTAGATGTGATAAAGGAATATGAGGTCAAAAAAGTGGTTTCGTCTCTGGACTTGTTCTGGTTTTTCTTTCTCATTTGGGCAGGGTCGGTTTCATTTGTTCTCATGTATAAGTGAGGAGGACGCTTCCTGCTCTGGGCTTCGGATAATCGTGTTATGAAGCAAATTAATGATGTGAAATGAAATAAATGTACCAAAGTTCTGATATTCAAATCGTTTCCAAATACATGTCGGTAACATACACATGTTTCTCAGATTAATCACCTCTTGATTGATATATCTTTTACAAAGCATGTCACGCTATGCTGTTCCGTGCATCATTTTACAACGCCCAAAACACCCACATGAAGAAAGAGAAGACGGATATCCCACGCCCACCCATAAACACATGCTCATATACATGTGCTAACAAATTTCCAACAACCAATCTCTACCGTGTCTGCGGCCCAGCCAATCCAGGCCCATCCCTCGTCCACCCACCCTTACGCATCCCATCTTCAATCCTGCCCCAAATCCTCTCCACAACCTCTCTATCCCTCCACCTCCCCTTCTCGCTACCCGTCCACTTATCTACAGCCACAGGTAGCACACCACGACCCAGCTGCTTGACCGTCTCCGGCGGCTCCTCTGAACTCCACCCAACATAGATACCCGGGTAGTTAGCAAACAGCTCTGCAGGCTGCGTGTACTTGTACGACTTGAACTGCCAGAGCTGGCCCGTGGTAAAGATGCCGACGACACGGCTCCAGTACGTGGGTTTGAAGGAGGCGGTGCTGTCGACGCAGATGAAGGTTAGGGGCTGCGAGGATATCGAGGGGAGGAGACGCTGGATTTGAATCATGTTTGCGCTGGCGGAGGTCGAGGACGAGTCGGTTGTGTTGGGGGGTACGAAGACGCCGTCGGAGAGGAAGGTCTTTACGTTTGAAGTGCGGAGTAGGGATGAGGCGGAGGGTGAGAGAAGGATGATGGGTTGGAGGCGGCGCTGAGGTCGCTTTTGGAGGTTTGCGACGAGGGCGGGCTGGGGGGCGGGGACTTTGGGGTCCGAGGGGCGGGCGCGAAGGAAGGTTGCGGCGATTTTGCGGTAGGGGGAGAAGTCCTGACGGCGATGGTTAGCAGGGTATTTGTGGCGCTTTCTGTGTAAGGAATCGTATACGTACGACGTTCTTGGTGCCCCTCAACACGCTGTTGTGATCTCCCATTTTCCTCTCTCCATCGTAAATCTGTAGTAATCGCGCATCCATCATGCCTCCTGCACTTCCTACTTTGATGCCTTTGCCACCATCGACTGGGACTCCCTTCCCGCCCGCAATGGCAGCAGCGTCACCCGCCGCGGCACTCAGGGCACCCCCATCTACAGCAGCAATACTGTCACTGCTCTCCGTCTCTCCGCTCAGCCAGGCAATCAGTTCAATCTTCTGCGCAAACGTCAGATTTTGCACGCTGCCTCCCGCGCCACTTGGCAGCTCCTCGTTCAGCGTCTGCACGGCGGCAAAGTAATCCGTAACAGAAGCGTCCTTGTTGAGCCATGCAAAGTAGCAGCTGCGCAGGTCAACAGGATTGCCATCGGGCGCGAATCGCGTGGATGTGTTGAGAGCAAAGTTACGGTGTTGGCTCGAATCGAAATTGAACGAGATGTGTGTTGCCTGTGAGAGATCGGTGACGGTATCTGCGGGTGTGGGCGTTGCGCTTGTAGTGAGGATTGGTGTTGCGTTGGCTTTGATGCTGAGTCGTAGGTTGTAGAGCGCGTCTGCGACTTCGGCTTCGGCGGCGGCCATGTTTGGGTTTTTTGGCGCGTCGGGCGCGTAGAGAAAGGAAATTGTCGTCGAGGACGTTGGGAGAGGGAGTCGCTGTAGCTGTTGGTTCGAGCTGTTTCGCGACAATGCGACGGGGGACTTTTGGGGACGAAGCCGGGGTTTCTCCGATTGGGGACGTGCCTCGGGTTTCCGCTTTCACCAGTTTGTCGTCCTTGCACCCTCTATGTTCGATTGTCAACTTATTTACCGAGATAAATGTTCAATGCTTTCACAATTTGTCTGTTTGCGCTTAGTATAATTGCAATGGGGCGTTGTCAATTCTGTACTCTGCATGCCTAATTCGTATTCAGCTGACCTGCAGGCAAGATTTCATTGCCTGCTTGTCCAAGAATTCTGCTGAGTATACTCTGAAATACTTTAAGATAAGTATCACATCGTATCTTAAGCGGTGAGACGATTGTGAAGAGTGAAAAAAAAATCTGGCACCTGAGTGCATGACGTAAGGATCCGGACATTGTCGTAATGATACAGAAATGATATGCTTTACCAACAGACAAAATTCATATTCATTGTGCAAGAAAATTGCATAAGCAATGTAATCTGGGTATACTCTGCTTTGTTGCAAATAAAAAGAGATCTAAACTAGTACCTATCTTTTCTGCTGCCTGTCTGAAAACATCTCAAACCTGTCTCTCCCCCGAATTAGGATATAGTCTACATTTTTCTCATGTCCTGCAGATATCTATATCTGCTATGGGAGCAGCTCACCGAATTAAGAGGCACTGAAGCTTCAGAGAAGTGAGATGGCTTTCTGTAGCCCGCTCTAGTCAGGTACAGGTCGCTAGAGCACCATAAAAAGAGAATGTTTGAGAACAGAGACAAGAAACATTCACGTTCTCTCAATTACACGTACAGTAAATACAGGTATAGGCAATAGGCAAACATGTATGCGTGCCAGTTATTATATTCTGACCATCTTATCTTACAGGTCGAGTGCGCTGTACAGGACCGGTTCATAGGACGCCTTTTCAACACGTCGCACAACACATGGATCTGATTACTACTCTGGCAATTGACCCTGCTGCAGGACTGTTATACTCGCGCGTGTCAAGAAAGATGCGACTGTACATCATTTCGCGGATGCAAGTATCCTAAAATTAATGTTTTGAGACGCTAATGTCTGTCTACTACTGTGTTATGGTTTGCCAAACAAGGTTCATTGCGTGTACTGAATTTCCCCCAAAATAGCACTCTTTAGCTTGACAAAATCTGCAAAGAAGTTTGTGTATATTTAGAACATCATTCATGTCTGAGATCTCAGCTCGCTTGTGATACGGTGTCTTGGGGGTAAGAGTAAATGTTAAAACGAAGCAGGTACAGCGAGTTAGCAGGTATGGTAATCAGTTGGATGAAGAATCTGCCTGCATCTGAGGAGAGGATTATGTTAGTTTAGAAAGAAATTAGACGATGTAGGTCAAAGACACACTTGAAAAGAAAAAAAGGGAAGAGGGGGGGGGGGGGGAAAGGAGGGTGCGCATAGCAAAATGAGGGATCAGAAAAAATAACCATCTATATTTTTTCTTTTTATTCACAGTAGCAACCAGACTGCAACAGTGGTCTTGAACCTGCTACATTCATACGCCATGTCGGAACTCTTACAAGCCCTTCATAGCGATGGAGAGCGTTGAAAACAAAAATCTAATTGCAGCAAGGTGCACTGTCTGAACTGGTATGAAGTCTTACTTGATTATTTCAAAGATTGGTCATGTTAATCGCGCAGCTGAACAATGCAAATAATAAAGGGTCGGTTTGCTAGTCTCCGAAGAAAAAGGATGACATACCACAGAAAACAAATGAGAGCCATCGAATTTGTTTGACATTTAGTCTTGGTACCGTGTCCCCAAAAAATCAAAAATCAACAAAAAAGGACACATATGGCAGCGAAGATTCGACAGTGATCACCTACCCAGTTACTCATTCACCGGAGGACTGACTATTGGGGCTATCTCAAACATGGTGCAATTTCCCATGGTCAGATGTGAAGGAAATGGTGACATCGAAATGATGATGAGCCAGTAAACATGGTGGACGTAGCATGGAACAACGTCCAAAAGCAAATGAAAGTCATTTGAATTCAATATTTCGCAAGGATAGAATACAAGGCCCTGGTGTATCTGCGCAATTGAGGTCGAAAAGTTTGATTTCGGTACAAGCGGATGAAGTGTCGTTGTAATAACGTGCTTGAAATATACCAGGATACTCGACATGGGTAGCCGATAAGTAAGAAAATGAAGCGTCTTGCGGGTACGCCCCGTTTCCATCCCCGTCCCCGTCCCCGCGGCAGGATTCCGAGTGCCAGAATCTTGGAATGAGGATTCCCTGGGTGTTGGAACGGACAGAATTGCTCTGTAGTGGCCAGTTGGAACGCCACTCGCCTGTGACGGACATGAGTGATACTATGGCGCAGACTTGTGGCGCCTAGTAGCGGCGTCTGTTGGGGCAGCATTAGCTCTGCTCGAAGCTGGGTTGGATCCTGTCGTAGGCACACAAAATCAAAGAGAACACTTGATCGAACTGCAACACTCATGATACTGTTGTGACGTCTCGGGTCCCAGATGTGACCAATAGAGATATGCAACTTGCTCTAGTATCTAGCCTGCGACGATAGTATGGCCCCAAATAGATTCGTTGGGTTGAACCACCTCCAAATAGGACATGACAGCGTGACAGACGAGTCCTGCACAGGGAATTTGGTGAACCTACCTTGTCCCTGCAGTGAGAGACCTGTGCATGTGCATGGAGGCGAACTCTTCGAGGGACTTTTGGAAAAAGTCCGGGCGCATACATACATCAAGCGTCTTGAAAACCCAACGACATTGGTCGCTTGTACTAGTGAGACTAGGAGACGTCTGAAACATGCACCAGTCGAAAAAAGCAGTTCAAGAGGATGGTAATTTTGAAGTCATGCAACTTTCCCGTTGGCATCGCATAGTGCCCAAGATACATACGCCAACAGGGATAGTGGTCTGTAAGGAACGGTGGGGATTGCACCAATCCAAAGCCACGGGTGACACTGCTCTGTGATGATAGGAGAGCCAATCCAGGTCACATGCCCTTCGCAATACCTAACGGAAAGGCTCAAGTAAATGCGGGTCTTGTCTGTCACCCGGCCGTTCAGAGTACTAAGCGAAAGTCGGATAGGGTACCAAAGCACGCAGTAGGGTAGGCTCCAAAATCCAGGGTTCAATGGCTAGTGTTTGCCGCTTGGGGGACAGGGCTCTCTGCTCGGATCCGTTGCTCGTCGCGCGCCCAGTGTAAGCCTCGTGGAAGCCAAGGGATGAACAAACTTTGTACCCTTGCAGCATTAGCACGGGACATGAGTGGGTCAGTATCATTGCTTGGGATGCTGGGTGGTGGTAGGTCAGAGATGGACTTCGCGGCGCTGGGTATAGCTTGTGGATTGAGGGGGGGGGGTTTTTCGGCTGGTCTCTCGTAGGCTCGCCATTCGGTAGCGCCTGAAAAATGTTTTTCAGGGTCGGAGGAGTCTCCCGACGACTTGGAAACTGGACTGCTTTTGCAGCTAGATTGTCAAGTGCAGGATCTCGGGTTCGGAAGCTTGCCTGAGTTAAGGCCGCCCCAACCCCTGTTTGTGGTGGTGGTGGTGGTGGTGGTGGTGGTGGAGGGCCTGAAAGACGTCACTCTAGGGCACTGATTGTGTTCCAAGGATAGCTCTTGTAAGTAGAGAGCGCTCGTCGGAGACGGGAAGTCGACCCGCTGCCGTCAAACCGGTCACCTATTCGAGTGACTATTGAGCTGATACGATGCACAGTTGCGCCGAGCGGGCCAATATATTGCCCTATCAGTCAACGGCGGCTAGCACCTTTTCCCTTCTGGCATTGACTGTGGAAAAGGAAATCAAGGCAGAATTGTCTTTGTGGCTGACTCGGGTTAGTGGTGCAGACGCAGCACTAGGAAAAAAGTGGTGTGAAGACGCAGCGTCTTGCATTAGCGCCCATGGGTGAGGCTGGTGATGGATTGACAGTTGTTTAGTGACCGCATTCGCACTGTCGAGTACGAACGGAGCTGAGCGGCCAAGACGAAAAGGAGGCCAGTTGACGGCCCCACCAGGGCACTGGCAATGGCTGCTTTCCGTGACGGACCAACCAGAGCCGGAAGTCCGAAGTCGCTCAGGCGCGCTGTCTACGAGCGTGGCTTGAGTCGTTGCAGCGTGCGCTGGATGCGTGTGAAGAAGAGCTGGAGAGCTGGTGTCGAGCGTAGCTGGCACACAGGTGGCGGACCCACACAGGGAGTTGACCAAAGCCCAAGCCCATACATACAAAGCACATGAGCAGTTGGAAAGCGTACAGACAGGTTCGTATCATTGCAGAGCCTGATAAGGGCGGGCAAGCTCAGCTGGCTTGGGCCCTGGCAGGACTTGCAGCAGACATGACGGCAATGTCTAGAGACTGATAGCGTGGTCTGGACATGGGATACTGGAGAGAGTTCACGTTCCAAAAAAGGCCAGTAAGGTGGTTGACGCCATCAGTCGATCCACGCCATACCCCTGCACCCAAGTTCCCCCCCCTCCCTAGCAGCCGAGCCAGGTATCAAAGCCAACAGGGCCCGGTCGAGCGTCGAGCAGCAGCAGAGAGTGGTGGCAATTGACTTCGCTGTCTTGACGCCGACAGGGCGAGTACTCCACGGGCAAGTCGTCTTCAGCTGCCGCCGTCGACCAGACATGTCCAGTGCCCAAACGCAGGCGCAAACTCTAACCACAAAGCCCATGTACGTGACCGACAGCCGCACACATTGTCTTTTGTGCCTTGTCAGCACAGCACAGCGCAGCGCAGCACCAACAGACTTGGCCGTGTCGAGACAGAAGCAAGGCAGGCTTTGGTCAAGTTCCGCATACCATGCCTCCTCTTCCCTGCAGCCCGCCACGGATTGCCGCACGAGCAAAACCTTGGACGCCACAGATGACGGTGGTGGTGATGGTGGTGGTGGTGGATGTGGTCATGATGGCCATGGTGAGAAGGGTGACAACATCAAGCAGAACAGCAGCAGCAATGACGATGATAGCGATGGGCGGCGGAGGCGGCGGCATCGGCCGCGGTGGTGCTGGTGATAATACTGCCGTCGCTTGGGTGTGGGGAAAGCAAGAGAGCCAGCGAGGGTGGACAGAAAGTTGCTCCTGGCCATGTGAGTGTGAGCATCCTCGGCAAAGCATGGACGAGGTTAGCTTCAATTCACTTTGCACTTCGTCGCCCCCGTCGGCCGGCCACAACGCTCGTTGCCAAACAACCTTTGGCTGTGCATGCATCGCCCTTGAATCAAACCCAGGCACACCGTCTGCCAATCCCCCTTTGGGCTGATGCCCTCCTACTCCAGAGTACTGTAGGTAGTATAGCATGTACCCCCTCTCCCTAGCCTACCCGGCCTCAGATCCGTTGATCCCTCCACAAGCCCGCCCCCCATCTTCATCTCTATTCCTGCGGGCGGCCCTCTCCACAGTCATAGCGCAAGCCTTCCCTTAACCCCCGGTCTAGTTCCACCTCTTCCGAAGACACATCGCACCACCGCTGCCGAATCGAAACATGCCTTTTTGCCCGTCCCTTCTAGACATCCCAAAGTCCGTGTCCACACCCGTTCTTTCTGCACCAGACGCCCATTGCTCACCCTGAATCAACACGCACCCCCCATGTCCCTTGCCCTCTCCCACACCCTCCCTCCCAGGAAAAGTATAGCCCCATTCCTAGTTCTAGACTATCCATACTCTGTCTGGTTTCTTGACGCCTGATGTGGCCATCGTGGGCGCGCCACCATTGACCTACAGCCTCCCGTCCTTACGAACAGCGGCAATAAGTGCCGCTGACTCCCTTTTTTTTCCAGCTTGACCAGCGGCCTCTGGTACCTGGTGCGTGCTTCCCGCCATCGTTATAACTAACTCTAGAGCCCTGACTCCACATGGTTCCCGTCGGCCTCGAAGACCGACCCCGTTTATCTGCTTCGGTTTCTTATACGAGGCCTTGACCTCCAACAACAAGACCCTACTTCTGCTACCCCATCAGCCAATTGACAAGTTTGGCTGTCTGGTCGCTGAAAATTCACTCGAAACTTCCACTTAGCAGTCTGGCTTTCTTGCCAAGTCGACCTTCTCCGGCTTCGCTCTACCCGCCTCCCAAACGAACCAACAATATTTTACCATTTCCTGCTGCTGGCCCCCAGATCCAAGCAACCTCGAGGTACGCCATCCATCCCGGCCTACGCCTCGTCTTGACTCCATCTTCACCCTGCTAAACCCACTCCAGTATCTACTCTATCCTGCCCAGTCTCCCCATCTCTTGAAGAAATGGCGAGTGCTCAGGCTGCAGCTTCATCCTCAGGAGGTGCAGACGAAGTTCCACCAGCTGGGAATTCTGCGTCTGCATCAAACCCTAAGATGAGAAAGAGGACGAAGACTGGCTGCCTCACCTGTAGAAAACGACGTATAAAGTGTGGTGAAGAGAGACCTACCTGCGCAAACTGCATCAAGTCCAAACGCCAGTGCGAAGGATACAACCAGAGAGTCATTTTCAAGCCACCCATGGGAGACTGGCCAAATCACCCTGGGGTAGTCAGTACCATACAATATCACACTTCGATGCTACCAGGCACACGCAATCAACCATATCGAGGACCAGAGCCAAGTGCCCCCATACCAGAAACAACCCTCACCTCGATCCAGCCACGACCGATTGGCAACTTCGACTTCCAACATGTCGACCCACAGCCAGGTGCTGGGCCACCACCACCACCACCACCACAATCGTTTGTTGGCGGTAATCTCAACTATACCCACGAACAGACGTATCAGCCACCTCTACACTCACCACCTCACCAACAACCGCTCATATCTCCTCACCACCAAGCACACGCCCACCCATCGACCGTATCATACTTTCCCCAGCAATCCCCTGTGCACATAAGCCCGTCGGAGCAGCTTAGCCAGGGACCCAGCACAAGCTCCCAACAACCATTACCATACAATTCCGGCTCTTCATATCCACCCGTCTCTGTTCCATATAGCAGTGATCACGAATTGAAGCCAGTGGGCCCTCAGCCTCTTTCTGGCCAACAGGCGTATTCACACGCATATCGATCGGATAGCCTGCAAGATCCTGACAATGCTTACCAACAGCAATCTAGTGTTTCGCCACAGAGCGATCAGTTTGCTCAAAACGCGGAGGCAAGGCCGGGTTTTCAGCGATTTAACAGTCTTCCCCACGTTGCTCTCCACTCGTCACAATCTGAAGGTTATAATTTTCAACCGGCGATTTCACACACTGACTTTAGCTATCCAAATTACTCTTCCGTTCCGTTGCCTTATGATATGAATCAGGATGTAAAGCATATGCCACAGCCTGTTCTCGGTATGTCTCGTGTCTAGTTATATACTTCTTATACCCCAATGATTATTATTATCTTTTTTCTCTCTCTTCTTCTTCTTCTTCTTCTTCTCCGTGTCTCAGTACCGGTGCAGCATCACTTAATAAATGTGGTGCATACTTTCTAAATCTTCCAATCTAAATTGGAATTGATCTCGTGTCCTAATAACTAACGATGTCATCGATGTGGGAACGGGCGAGATGGCTGACTGTGATGAGCAGAAGAGGTTACACACATACCAAAACCCCCAGGATCCCACCCACAACTGCTTCTTAGCGGATTCGGTGGCGAAGATCATGCTAGCCCTACACAAGTGCTCGACGAAGCGGCAGTAGAATATGAGGACGATGATTACTGGGATGTTCATTCAGATGAAGATATGATTGATGCAGAGACTGGGGAGGACGAGAATGCACTGCTCACGAGCCAGGAATTCAGCGCTATCCGGCGTATACATTTGGAGAACTCCAACGAGCTAGGCATTCGACGCTACGATGCCTTTTTATATGACGGCCTTCTGTCACACTACAAGCCTGAATATGCGGCAAGTCCCTTGCGCAACCCAAAGACAGCTCGAGTGTTTGCACATTTCATTCATGTGGTAAGTGAAATGCAACTTCTTGGGCTACGTACTCTTTGTGCTGAGAAATATACACCCTCCTTCATATATGCGCACTTTGAGACAGGTACAAGCAAGTAGCTGACCAGGTTGATAGACAGCACCAACATTATCGATTTTTGAACGAAACCCAAGAGACCCGACTTTGATATTCGAAGGCGCAACGCCACCATCTCAGCAAGGACTGTGGACTTACAAACTCCCCTTGAAGGCTTTGAACCACCAGGGCTTGTTACATGCAATGCTGGCACTTGCCAGTCTGCACATTGCACGATTGCAAGGAGCTTCAGTCACGCCATCCTACAAGCATTACGCATACTCGCTCAAACGCCTTGTTCGTTCGCTCTCACACCCGACAAAACGTCTATCCATGCTCACGCTGGCCAACTCCTTACTTCTGGCATGGTATGAGGTATGGACGGCAGAACACGTTAAGTGGGGTACGCATGTTGTCGGCGCTCAACAGCTCATTACTGAGCTCGACTTCCGCTCCCTTACTCGCGAGGCACGACGAATGCAGGCTGCACAAACTGCAATGGAGCGGCAATTCCCCTACCAGAACCCAACGATGCTTATCGATCAAAGACAGTTCGACCTGAAATTGAAAGAGAGTTCACTCATGCCAGATCAAAATCTGGTGAGCACTATTGTTGGAAGCAGAGTCAACTACGATGACTTTGGTATGGTTTTCGAGGACGATGGGGCAAGATATGACACGAAGCCAAGTATTACCGGTGGACTGGATCTAAACACCTATGCAACTCTTCAAGATCTGTTTTGGTCGTTTGCTAGACATGATGTTTTCCAGAGCATCATAAGCGGAAGTCCTCTTATGTGAGTGGTCCTGATGGTTTTTAGAGTTGCAGCTAATCAGTCGCAGTCACCCTTATCGTAAATGGTCTGATTGCCCCCCAAGATCCCCACTCGGCCGACTCGATGCTCTATACGGCAGTCACGATCATCTTCTACTCCTTCTAGGCCGCGTTGCAGACTTCACTGTCAAAGACAGAGCACGAAAGGTTCGACAAGTCGAAGCGGATGGTGGCTGGCGACCTCGACCTGGCATTCCTGGTTTTGGTAATATGGGACCTCCAGGTGGTCCTCCGGGTGGTCCTCCAGGCGGTCGATCGAATTCTATGCAAGGCCCACCACCAGGATGGAAAGGGCCACCCCCTCCAGGTTTTGGCCCGTCTGGACCCTCTCAAGGTCCACCCTCTCAAGCAGGTCCGCCTCCTTCAGGCATGCCCAGCTTCTATGGAATGGCCCCAGCACCAACCTTAGCACCACAAATTTCCGGTTACGAGAATCCAAACTTCAAACGTCCAAAGCAAACACCAGACGTGCCTGAACCAAAATATGATGATCTGTCTGCTGCCTACGTCAATGCAGTTGCGGAATGGGAAAGTATTTGCGAGGCACATGCAGCAGTTGAGCAAGTGTTTCAGAACACAGAAGGTTTTGCTCCTTTGCCGGAGGATATCTACCCACCGCCTCCGGGAGAAAGACAACACGCGCAGAGTAACATGACGCCTTTTGGGAAAGCCATTTCCCATCGAAGTTATGACATATCCATCTTGTGGACACTCCTCTACCTTGCTAAGATCATTCTCTTACGTTCCCACCCTGGCATGCCTCCAGCAGCGCAAATGGCAGCGGGAGTTTGCGCAGCTGCTACTGCGCCATACTGTACTCTCATCGGCCGTATCACAGCCGGATTCCAAATTCCCATCTCTGAGGACCTTTCTCCCTTCCTTGGTGCCATATTCACAGAGGCAACCATGTCCATGTTCTTCGCCGGTGTCACCTACAAGGAACCCCATCAACGGGAGTGGCTCATCACACGCTTGTTGGAGATTGAGCGAAGGATAGGCTGGGCCAGTGCGGGCATGATTGCTAAGGGATGCGAGTCGGTATGGGAGCAACAGGCCAAGATGAAGAGGGGGCCACCCTATGTGAGGAGGACAAAGCGAACCATGAGGTTTAAGGAGGAAGAGGGATACGTTGAGGATCCAGAGTATACCAATCCGCGTGGTCCGGATGGTCCTAACAGTGATGAGAGAAGGAAATGGGTGAGGGATGATTCGCAAAAAGAGACAAGGTTTGTGTTCAAGAATAGGCTACCTCCTTGGGCTATGAATTTGTTGAGTACAGAGGAGGATCTGAGAGTAGGATTGGAGAGGGTTGGATTATGAGAAGGGATGGAATTGGAAATACTGCAATTTGGAAAAATCATCAGCCATGGATAAACCAGTTGCAAACTGGAACACGCTACAGGACGATTACGGGAGGGAAGGAGAAGCCTTTTCCAAGGAGGAAGAGATGTAGTGAGTTGTCAAGTCACGATGCAACCAGCGCTAGAAAGAAGAGATCGGAGCGAACGCAAGAGAAGCGCGTATACCCACATAACGACATCGCCACTACTGCAGTCTGCCATGCAGTCGATCACGGCATGCAGCACGAGCGTTGGAATTTCTATGACGATCACGACCCAAAGAGCAATAACGGCAATGGGGATCAGCGCCACGTTGAGCCAACACTGCATATTCCCTTTTATATTGTTATCTTGTAAAACCATGCATGAACAATCAAGACGTCTCTTTCAATGCTTCCAACAACCACGACATGACAACCGACCGGTCTCTCCACACTGGCTACACACAACCTTTCTTTCATACTATCTTCTCCAACTATCCCCATCACACCGACAACCGAACTGAATAAAAAAAATATCATCCCAACAAACTACCAACCCACCCAACCGGATCCTAACCGGTATTCGCTTCATCTACCCCTGTTCCATTGCACTCTCACCTCGGCATCAGTTTCCCACCCCCGACCCATCCACCCAGCCACCCAGCCAGTCACTATTATCAAAAGCAAAAAAAAAGAATGGAAATCAGCAACATCCATGTTCACCTCTCAAGACCTTGGCCGAGGCGAGGGAAGCACCGACCCGAGACCCAGGAAATAGAACGAATAAGCAAAAGTCGCAAAAGGCAAAAAGAAAATCAAAATATGAAATCTAGGCTTGAAGTCTCAAGACTCGATCCGTACTGGCTACGTAACGTACAGAGCTTGTGTGGACTTTTGCATCTGGGGAGATTTGTCCAATGTGATGATGATGGTTGCTTAATTCTATACTGAAGAAGTGAACCGATTACAGTCTTGCAATGCGTTTAAGCCCTCTTTGCGATTGCTTTGTTTTTTTTTTCTGGATATGAGAGGAGAGAAGTAGGTGTATCAGTGCGGTCCGTGGGTATCGGCCCCATCGGAAGAGAAATTAAGTTTCACGTGCTCTGGATTCGTTGTTGCGGTGGTTGGGCTGGAGTGAGCGTGGCGTAGACGTGATGAGAAGAGTGACATATTGCTTTGTAGATTGGTGGGGTTGAAATGAACCTTTTTGCTTGATCTAGGTCTAACTATACCGTAAGATATGGAAAGCAAAGCCAGGGGCAGGTTGAAAAAAAAGGATGAAAGCATCTCACATACGTAAGGTGATAAAACGATATTATCCCAGAACTTGTCCCATGTATTGTTCACGTACTTTGCTCACGCAGACTCTTCCTCAAGGACTCGATTTCTTTCGCAAAGACAACATTTGGTATTTGAGAAAATAGATGCCGCCATGAAAAAACGCCTCATTCTACAAATGCTTGCAGTTTCAATCATCAAACCAGAAATCAACGATCGTAATTAACCACCCCGTCCGGCGCAGTGTAGGTGCTTTAAAAACCAACTCGCCAGTGACACAAAAACTCCATCCATGATGCTAGCAACTCCCAAAAAGCGTGCGCCCAGTTTTCCATTTCACGCGCTCGTATCGTACATTTTCTCGACCAAGACCGCAAACATTTTAAAAGAAGTAGTAGAGCAGACCTCCACTGGCAGTCATGAAGACACCGAACCACCACCACTGGTCTGACCTGGCTGCGCCGGGTGTTCTCTTGTAGATGATTTCGTGGTTCAAGGGGAGCTCGCCTCGCTTCGAGTTCTTTGGTGCGGCGGTCTGGGTGACGAGGGGGTTGAGGGTGGTGGTTGGCAGCATTTGGGGCTGGGCCATGGCAAGGTACATGGGCATCATGGGAGAGCCGTCGGCTTTGTAGAGAGTGATGCGCGGGATCTTGGCGTAGGCGTCTGACGCAACGTACTCATAGCGCTATATGCATGTCAGCAATCGATGCGCGATAGGCGTAAAGACAGGGGTGAAAATCATTCATGGAGAATACGTACATCAAACAATTCAGTAGTGTTGTAGCGAGTGTAGATGGCGTATTTGTATTGGCATGGGTCAGAGAGCAGTTGCCGGCCGTCGACTTTGATGGGATTGAGGATGAGGGAGCCGTTGCTGAGCTTCTCATAGCTGCCGTGCTGCCATTGGATTATGCCTTTGGGGCAGCTGGGGTCCTGGGCTGTCGACGCTGTTAATACGCTGGTCGCGATGCGCGCACGATTGCGGGGCTACATACGATTTGCGATTGCGCGATAGTAAGCCTCCTCGTAGAATCCATCAGCTGTGAAGGAGTAGCTGATGCCCGTGTGCTTCGGCTCGGTGAATTTCTCCTCGACGGGGTTGTAGAAGCCCTGTGTCAGCAATTAGCCTCGATCTTCCCGTGGATATCGCAATAAGGAAGTCATACAGGGCCAGTCATGGTTGAGTTTGACTTGCTTGTCCACGTGCCTACGAGATCTGCTGCCCCGACGGCTGTCTGGGCCTGCGCATGCAGCATTGCGACTCCAGAAAGGAGCAGAGCTGCTAATCTCGAAACCATGGTTGCAAGTGTGTTGTGTGTGTGTGTGTGTGTGTGTGTGTGTGTGTGTGTCTGAACGAATGTGGGCGACCTGACGAAGGCGATAGAAAGCGAGCGCGCGGGTGTGGGTATGTATGTGTGTGGTCACGGAGGATGGTGGGTGGGTGTCGAGGGGAGGGAGGAGTGTGGTGAGTTGCGCATGTTGAGAGTGTCGCCGCCTCCTTTGCTTGGGACGAGTGGACAAGGATAACGCGGCTACTTGCAGATCATCGGCGTGCCTGGGCAAGGCCGACCACCATTGCCCGCACCCGCATTTGGACCGTTCTCTCCAATATTATTGTTACCAAACTGCGCTCGTCCAACAGCACAGTTGCTACTCACCGAGTCCGGCACTACTTTAGCCGCCTATTGCTGCTCGGGAGTTGCGGTCGCTCCAGCCTCGACTTGGCCGTCGCGCAACGGGTCTGATTCTGAAACGCCGTGACATTTGCTATTAAACGGGCACTAGGTACATACGCCATGGCGGGGTCACTGGCAGCAGTCAAGAAGGAGTTGCGAAAAAAGATACGGACTATTCTCAGCCAGCTGCCTGATGCGGCCGCTGCTTCGCAAAGTACGTCACGATACGATGGTTGCATGTCGCTCTTCTGACGCCATCCAGCGGCCAATGCCACTGCTACTCTACTAGCCATGCCCGAGTACCAGGCGGCCCGTAGAATCAGTGTCTATCTATCCATGCCGGGAGGAGAAATCTCCACAACCGATATTGTGCGAAATGCCCTGGGAGACGGCAAGAAGGTCTTCATTCCATACACGTACACTCTGGACACGCCCGACCAAGGCCAACCAAAGTCCATCATGGACATGCTCGAGCTGCACTCGATGACTGACTTTGACTCGCTCAAACCCGACAAATGGGGCATTCCAACTCCAAGCACAGAGTCCATTTCATCACGTGCCAATTGCTTTGGTGGTACTGGTGTCACAAACGGCATGACGGACGGCATCAAAGACGGCCTTGATCTGATCGTCATGCCCGGCATGGCCTTTGACGCACAGTTCGGCCGCCTTGGCCACGGTAAGGGCTTCTACGACTTCTTCTTGACACGTTGTCACCACGTATCGCGCATGCCTTTTCGCGGTAAGAACTACTGATATTCTGTATGTGGAGGGCTAACTGACCACGTCAAAGTTGGTTTTGCCTTGACCGAGCAGCTACTTCCGCCAAATGAGTCGGTTCCCATGGACTCTTCCGATTTCCGCCTCGACGCCTTGATCACCGGCGCTGGCGAGCTCCGTCGCGCAGGGGCTTGAGCTTCTCCCCTCAAGTTTGGTAAACAAAACCGTGCCTGCCCGCTCCCTCCTACAGTCCTGCAATACATGCGCTCTCTCATGTGTACGATCCTACAGCCGCAGGAGAAACGTGTCCATCGCTGGCGTTTATTGAAGTTGCTGGATCAGGGAAATGTTGTCTCCTTTCAACAGAATCTGGCCGACCTTGCGCCTCTCCTCGGGCGCGTCCTTCTTCGCAAGCGTGACTTCAATGGCGTCGTCAATGACCAGGTTCATGAACTCGTCGAAGCCCTACTCAGAAGTTAGCTGCTGGGGCGTAGATAGCAAGCGGCCGTGGTACCCTCAGTTTTCCCTCGATGCGCATGCCCAGGTTCTCGTATAGCCAGACTGATATGGTCGCCCGTGATTGCAAAAGCTTGAAGATGAAGTTGATGGGAGGAAGGAGGACTGCGTGTTCGTGAGTTGGTGCTGCTGCGCAAGCATGTGGTAGCTGTCGTACCTTTTCCTCCACCGCGGCCTATACACGTTAGCTATGGTTTTCGCCCAATGACGGGACATACCGACCTCCACGTCCAGTCATGTTGTAATTCGAGTTGCTGGTATCAGGGTTTTGGCGTTTCTAGAGTCGGCGCCTGGTTGCAGGGTGGGCGGTAGCTGGTGGAGATGAAGTGTAGTCGAAGCAACATTTCTGGCGCGAGGGAGCGAGCGGTCACGGCTCTTGGCGCTAGTAACGTGGGGATCTTTGACTGCCTATGCGCGACCAAACGCAACTGCCCATGCCTGAGCAAACTCACCACCCCACCACGCTCGCAACCACCACAACCACCCTCGCCGCATCCTCGCTGCCTGCACCTTCTGTCAGTCGGCCTCTGTCACAAAGCCAGTGAATGCGCGCAATATAACTCGACCCCGCCGCCTCTTTCAGAGCAGTATCCGCATCCGTTCCCCCACCATCACCATCACTACCCCCCTCAATCGCCCTCACCATGGCTGCCAACGGACAGCAGGTGTTCGACCCGGTGTTGGCGGCACACAACACTATGGCATCGTCGGCGGATCGCGCACAGAAAGAGCAGGCACATCAGTTTCTGGAGCAATTTCAGAAGTCGGTATGTACGGGTGCGTCGTTGTAGGGACACAGGTGGCTGACTGGCGCGCAGGAAGAGGCATGGACAACCACACTAGCTATGCTCGAGTCCAACTCTGCAGATGCAGCAGCCAAGCTTTTCGCTGCCACAACGCTCAAGGGCAAGGTAAGCTAGTGTTTTACTCATCAAAGCGCCTTTCCTAACAGCCGGCAGATTGTCTATGACTTGCACCAAGTGCCCCGCGCTCAACTTGCCGAGCTGCGAGCTTCTATCATGCGAAACTTGGCCATTTTTCACGCTGGACCAAAGCCCATACGCTTACAGCTATGCGTGTGTCTGGCAAATCTCGCAATACAGATGACCGAGTGGAAGGATGTCCTCAAAGATATCGTAAACTCACTCGGCTCCGACCCCGCAACCTTACCTTGCGTCCTCGACTTTCTCCGCGTTCTCCCCGAAGAAGTCACACATGGACGTAAGATCGCACTCACAGTACGTCCGAGCGAGCCGCGCCCCATTTGCAGCCTACGGCAATTCCCCGCGGTGCCGACACATGCTAGCAGAGTTGTAGTCTAATGTGTGGTGGTCAGGAACACGAGTTGACTATGAGGACGGCCGAGTTGATTGAAGACAACGCCCAGCAGGCCCTGGAACTCCTCGTACGATACGGAACCTCTTCACGTACGTTAAATTCCCTGGGTTCCAGCCCACTCTCACTGACAGTTGATAGCTGCGGCCGCACAAAACCCCCAATTACTCCACTGCATCACCTCCTGGATACGCGAAATTCCATTGGACGCCATCATCAACTCTCCCTTGCTCAAGATCATTTTTGAGGGCCTCTCGCATGAAGATCCTTTTGAAGCTGCGGTAGAATGTCTGAGCGCCCTCCTTGCAGAGACGAGAGATGTCGATGAGACTCTCAGTTCCATAATGATCCTCTATCCCCAAGTCATCAACCTCCAAACGAAGCTCGCCGAAGCGGCACAAGAGGAGGATGCTGAAAAGTTCAAGGGCATTGCAAGGATATTTGCCGAGGCTGGAGAGTCTTGGGTTATCCTCATTGCGCGTCTACCGACCGATTTCCGTGCATTGGTCGAAGCAATACTTGCCATAGCCGCGCTAGATAAGGAAAGGGACGCCATCTCCCATACCTTTAAGTTCTGGTACGACCTTAAGCAATACCTTACGCTGGAGAAATACGCCGAAGCTCGCAACCAATGCCTAGACATTTACTCCAAGCTGGTCGACATTATGATAAACCACCTTCAGTTCCCGAAGCCGGAAGGTGGGAGTGGTGATGACAAGGACTTGTTCGAGGGCGATCGCGAACAAGAGGAAAAGTTCCGCGAGTTTCGACACCAGATGGGCGATGTTCTCAAGGATTGCTGTGAGGTTATGGGTGTCGTTGAATGCCTTCAAAAACCTTATGATCTCATTCAGCAATGGGTCCAAACATACGGCGCTCAGGCTGGACCGAACAGTGTGCCAGAGTGGCAGAAACTGGAAGCGCCTTTGTTTGCAGTCAGAGCCATGGGCCGCATGGTGCCTCCAGATGAGAATATCATGCTTCCACGGCTGATTCCACTCATCGCGGGCATACCCGACCACAACAAGTTGCGATTCCAAGCTGTGATGGCTCTAGGAAGGTACACAGAGTGGACGGCCCAGCACCCTGACACGCTACAGATGCAACTGGACTACATCATGGCAGCTTTTGACCATTCAACCAAGGATGTCATCCGAGCTGCTGCGCTGTCATTCAAGTTCTTTTGCAACGATTGCGCGAGTTTGTTAGTTCACTATGTTGGCCCGCTGCAGCAGTTTTACGCAAAGAACTTGAACAAGCTACCCATTAGCAGTCAAGAAGAGATTACGGAAGGTGTTGCCTCTGTTGTTGCCAAGGTTCCCAACGACCAGCTTCTGGCAACACTCAAACTTTATCTCGACCCTGTCATGGCGCACTTGATCGAGCTTGCACAACAAGCAAAGGATGAGCCAGACCAGAAACTCATTGCGGACAAGATTAACCTCCTCACAATATTCTTTGAAATGGTGAGGCCAGAGATACCACCTGGTCAAGAGCATCCGGCCGTCAAATACTGCGAACAGATTTTCCCCACCCTTGCAAACATGATTGGCCATTTCCACACAAGCATACCGATCCTCGAGCGTGTATGCAGGTGCTGGCGATACATGGTACTTTCTTACCAGACAGCAATGCGACCACTTCTACCGGCTCTTGCCACAAAACTGATTGAAGGCTTCGATAAATCAAGACAGGGATGTTTCCTCTGGGCCACGGCATCGATTGTGCGCGAATTCTCGCAAGGTGTGGAGACTGTCGATGCAGGTTTGGCAAATGACGTCTACCAGTTCTATGAGCAGCAAGCGAAGACTTTCCTGAGGATACTCAGTGATCTGCCCCCAGAAGAACTCCCTGATCTCATCGAGGATTACTTCCGTCTCGCGGCCGATATGGCACTCTACTTCCCGTCCGAGTCCATTATGTCCCCGCTCATGGAAACGATACTTCTTGCAGCCTGCAGCTCTCTCACACTGCTCAAAGAGGATCCCATTATCGCAGTGCTACACTTCCTACGCGACTTCCTCGGCTATGGTCGCAACTCATCGCCGTCGTCTACTTTTGACAATACACGTCACGAAGTTCCAGAACAGATACGGGACCGCGTTAAGCAGCTTGTTGTGGGCGCTGGCGTCCAACTTGTCCAGCGTATCATGACGGGCATGATGTACAGCTTCCCCGAGGGTTGTTTTGCCGACTCGTCTGGTGTGCTTCTCGACCTGTTCGAGCTCATGCCTGAACAGGTTGCACAGTGGGTTGCGAGCACCGTGGCTATGTTACCACAGGGTAGCATCACACCCCAAGAGAGCGAGCGCTTCCTCAACAACATTCGCCAACGCATCCAAACAGGCGACGTTAGGATGATTAGGACGATTCTACAGGACTTTACAACTAGCTATCGTCGAAGAAACGTGGCCCCCCGAGAGGGCCTCGGCAGGCTGGAGGCTTCGCGGTTTAGATTTTCTGGTTAGCGGCTGGTCACTGAACCGTTGCTGTACTATTTGAAAGCATCGGTTGAGCGCATGCTCCGAAGGAAAGTGATCGTCGAGACGCTCCATCAGGTCAGAGCCAAGTCGAAGGCGTCCATAGCGCTTATGTAGGTAGGCTTACTATTGAGACAATAGGGATGCAATATATCTGGTGTGGGATGGAGTAAATATCAAAAGAGCATAATTGTACTTGAAGCGTTTGTGTGTTGGCATTTGCATGGAAGAGAGGGATATGGAAGGAAAGGATACCATTCATGAGATAAAGTGGGGTTTGTTATTACAACTGCTAAGATAGCCTTGAATTTCCTGTTTTCATGACCATGTTTGACTGCAATAGCAGGAGGCATACATGAAGTGATGTTGGAATGGACTTTTGTCATGTGATGTGTACTTTGCATGGTGATAGTGCACCATTCCCAAAACACCAGATACATGCCGACACCCAATCTTCTTGATGTTCGCTGATGAGCAGCTAAGATGATACGGGGAGGCATACAATAGCGCAACCACGAATTGTAAGTGATGGACAGACCACAATATGCCTGTTGTTGTGGAAATTCATGGTCGTCAGTACCGTTCACGCCGACTGCTCCTGCTGCTTGGTGCATTCTTTTCGGGCTATAGCTGCCAAACGCCACTTCTTGCCGCTGCCACAACAAAACATTCTGCATCATTCTCAACCTTCTATCACCTCCCCCTCACCTCATCGCTCGCTGCTCATCCATACTACTAGATGGCTGCTCAACAACGTCCTACTTGAGCACTGTCGACGCTACCATTGTTTTGCTACACTTCCTCATACAACTTCTTCCTCATCTCATCTATTCATCCCTTGGCAACTCTCACCAATTCAATACTTCAACTACCAAAGCTGCGGGTCCGCCATCTGGACTGCTTCGGCTCTCTGAAACACGACGTCATACTTTGATGCGAGCCTTATTGGCTCTGCGGCCACTTTCGCGTTGAGTATGCCCTCCTGGTCGAGATCAAAGATTCAGAATTCAAGGATGTATATGATCAGATTGCTAATACCGTCGCAGGTGCATCTCGCAGTCGTCACAACGCTTCCCTTTACTTGTTTTATATACGGGCTACCTGCACAGTACTGGCAAGAAGAATCCAGGCGAAGCTTTACACTTGATACTATTGAGGAAGCGGACATCCTGGATCCACCATACGCGAGGCCTGGCAGAATCAGGGCTAATTCCGTGGGCTCCAATCCTAAACCGAGGTCACTGAGCTCGAGCAGATCGGAAACTTCGCAGCACTCCACCCGTATCAGAAGGCATTCTCAGCCCACACCACCGCCAACACTTGCTGAAAGAGTTGCATTGGGGCCACAGCTCAATCCCTGGCATCCACAGCACCCCCATCGTCTCGCTAGACACAGTTCTTTACAAGAGATTTACATTCTCAGAAAGGAGCAACGCCTAAAGGAAGCTGCAGATTACGAAGAGCGTTTGATCCAACTCCGTCTCCAGCGGCGCAGGAGTTCGCGACAACTCGACGGTTCGAGGTCAGCTGGAAGCTCGCCAAACATAAGTCGTACAAACTCTGAGAGGGACCTCTCAAGAACCTCTTCGTGGAAGAGCTTTGCCAAAGAACTAGCATCCTTTGAAAAGTTTGGGCCACTTGGACGTACAAATACTTCCGAATCCGCGGCGTCTTCGAGATCTGAACAGTCCAATAGATCCAGAAAGTCAAACCTCCGCCGAGTACTGATTTTGGAACGGGCTAACTCCGATGATCGAGGCGTTCAAGGACATGAAGCACGGAAAAAGCAGCAGTTACGACAGTTTAGCATTGGAGCGGACAGCGAGCCAAATATTGCATCGCATGGAGGACAAGGATTCGGAGTATGCCCTGGAAAGCATCCGGACAAGAGTACTCGGTACGTATGTTGTTCCATGCTTGGTGACAAGAAACTGACCTGTCATAGCGAACGCACGCGCGATCTATGGACCGAATCGATGTTTAGACGTGATAAGCTTCGCCCCGACTTCCTCAAGAAGAGTTGGGGCGTGCATCGTCGAACACAATCCATCCAGTAAATCATACATTCATTGCTGTTCTGCAAAGGAGACATCACGTCTTGCTGCTTTGGAACATTTGCTTGTCATCACCGAAGACTTGCTTCAACGCCTTATGGATGTCGAGGGAATTACAAGCAGTGGGTGGCTTCCCGCTACCCCACAGTCACAGCATGCAGCGATGTATGGCAGTGCGTGCGGCAGCACAGTAGGTGGAACGGGGAGTGGCAGCATGGCCAGCAGTGTGCAGACGAGTCGGAGGGGAAGTGCTCAACCACAAGAGTAAGATTGTCCCTGATCTGTTTTGACGTTTTCCTGATTTTGTACCTGGTATCAGGATACTTACAAGCCATAGCATGTTCCTTGATCACGGTCACGGCTCGCCGCAATCCACACAACTACCGCAGCTACCGCAACAAATACAACATCCACACCCAGTGCCTTCCCAACTTCCCTTTGTCAACGACTTTAATGCACCTAGCTCGCCTCACCATATTCAGAAACCGCGGCTCCCCAGGGGCGGCAGCGAGACATCATTCCCTACTAGTACACCAAAGCCGATGGCACAGACGATTGCCAGGACGAACAGCGATGTCATTCAGCACCCCAAGCCAGTGCCTGTCGGCCAGTTGGCAGTTCCTGGACGCGGCAGAGTGCAGTGGAACCTAGGTTCCGAAGGCTAAAGATGGCGACGCAAAGTCATCTCTTGTTTGACTGAGCTTTGGGATTTCAACAATAACGAATTCACGACATGGAATGGGGTTACCTATAGCTCAACCATCACTACCTTTGTTAGCAGCGCTCAAATGACATGTTTCGATTGCATGAGAGAACCACGATTGGTGAGTTACCCAACCTACACTGACAACTAACTAGCATGCCAAGTGCCAGCCCACGTGACTCTCACAACCCAGGCAAAAGATTAAAAATCGCAAAACAAAAACATACGGCAGCGGGGATTCGCTAGTGGTCACCCACCTAACTACTAATTTGCATTCTCGCGGCGCTTAGCTTCAGCGATAATCTCGCCACGATACG